GACCATTAAAGAAAATCAAAATTAACAAATGATTGCAAATACCAACAATTAAAGAAGACCTTGTCGTTTAAGATCTTCATACATCTTCTTGTTGTACTAATAACGTAAGTGCGACCATAATTGTTTAGTTTCGAGTATCAATGCACATCTTTCCTTGGTGTTAGAAGTCGCATTAGCTGGATCAACAAGACTATATCTGATTCGTTAAATTGAGTCTAAAGTTGCATTCTCTACATACAATTTTATTAAGCTTGGGTATTGATATATTCATCTCTCATGAAATGACGTTTCGTGAAAAACTTTGTAGCCTCCTTTGGAATCATCACTGAAACAATTGATAACAACCTGAAAATGAATAAATTTATAATAAAATTGCTTTTTGGTTGCCTTGTCTACAACGGCTTTCCCGAAGTTGTAACATCCGAATTCATCCAATAGGGCAGTCGCGTCAAATGCTCTACGGTTGTAGGTAGCAGCAGCCTTAACTGATTGGTCAAGTTTTCTAAAAGTTCACCAACCTGTGCTGCGTATTTGCTATTCATGAGAGTCATATGAATAACAACAGATTGTGAAGAGTCATTGCCCGGACTGGGGAAAGCTAGTGTTGCTCCTATCAGCTTCCGGTTAATACAATCAGCCAATTTTTGAAACCTAAGTATGGTGATACTTCACAAACGAATGGAAAACAAATTACTGAGGATGTTCCACGTTAGCGAAGACAACCATGGTTTCACTTGGATCATCGTTGAACAAGGAGAGCCCTCTCACTTCCACTTCTATAGGTTGGTTCATCCTATAAAACTGTATGAAAACTGTGATTCCCATCGGCTCAACTTTAAGTCGTCAAGAGCTTCTCGAATAATTTTCTTTGCAGCCTCGGCGTCTCGGTCATCCAGTAAGCGCAACATACTAATCGTACAATGGAGCCGCTGGCTTTTAATAAATAAATTTGGATTTCGTGTTGCTTCCTAAAGACTTCATTTTTGTTCGCATAGATTCAAAATCGTACTGGAATGTTCGGGGAAGCCAGGACTGCTTCTTTGAACTTCGCAAATGATGTTTGTAGTTCAGATGAGTCCTGTAACGGGTATGAGACGAAATGAGAATAGTGAGTCTGAAAGATGCAAAATGCACAAGAGTGTGAAGATGAAACAGACTGTCTGTCGAAAACTCAGCAACAAATCCTCTACACGATCCAGACAGATTTGCACGGATTCTAGTCCAGAGAACGAAGTGACGACTGCAATTAGAGAAGTTGTATCCCATGGAAGATTTGATTATTACCTAAGTTCTCTCCTGGATTCCGTGGTATTTTGAGACGACAGCTTGTGGACTTTTCGATGTCCATTCGTGTACTTCCTTTTACTCCAATCAGCTTCCCCAAGAATGCCTGAGGGACATACATCCTATAAAGAATTGAAGATGTAATAAACACAGCCACCAAAATACTCCGAAGTCCATTTGTTGTCATAAACCAAAATCCGTTCGTCTTCTGTCTTGTATGCAGTTTTCTCGTTTGGTTGCTTCTTATCAACATTCGCTTTCCCTTTTGTATCCCTTTTATCTCCGCTAACACCATTGTTTATTTTTAGCTGCCGTTCATCTGATTTGTACTTATAGTGAGTAAGAGTGTCTGTTCCAAAGAAGAGAAACCTGAACTGTTGAACTTGCAAGAGACATCTGGCTCGTCTCCATACAAGTCAGGAGTGTCTCCATAGTCAGTGGAGTCTGGCTGTTTCGCAGCTTGTGGCTATAACAAAAACACATGATTTCAGTGGCAGAAACGTTTGGCTTGGACAGTCACTCTATTCTAAACTGTCATGGAAGTAAGACTGAATTACCCTGTACGGATTTCTACGATAGCATCGATTTGCGACAGTGTAAGTATCAGCTCTAAGAGGGAAGACATTCATTCTTAGAGAAGATTAAGGACTGAAAGAACGACCTGAAGACATGGGTGTTGGGAAATAAAATATGAAAATACTGTGAAGTAGGTAAAACTATATGATCGGATGAAAACATAAGAGGAAAGCTTTCTTTTGAATTCTGTTTTTCTTCACTCAATTTATAACAATAACAACGAATCGGAGTGTAAGTTCCTGTGAGTACACAAGGAATTTGTTGTGACATATGACAAGCGAGAAGTAGTAAAGATTAAAAAAAAGCAAACAAGAAAGTCAAAAAACATTCATGAGGTTTCAAACAACGATTTGAGATTGAGAAATCTTAAGGAAGTGGGTACACTTCTGTTAAAACTTGAGCAACAATTTGAAAAGTATCATACATATCACAGTTTTTCATTCACAACAATTCCGATGGCTTCTGTAGTCTTTTGAAGCTCTTCTTCCGTCATAGCATACTGAACCATAAAACGTATGCTGAAACACAGATGAGCAACAACATTCGCAAACAGAAGCTCACCTGGGAGCGACAGAGAAGGCTTCTTCACTATCCAGATAACGAGCCCGTGTTAGTAAGATTGAATGATCATCAAACATCTGCAAACAGAACCGTCGTTTTAAGAGATGACCGAAAAAAACGAATTAAACACGACCCGTTAATGGAGATTTGATACACGACTCGTGCTACTTCATTTCACATCGGTTTAGAGCTTCAAGATCAGTCCTTTCACAAACTTACATAGTCAACTAGAGCATCTAATTTTGTTTCTGCTAATTGCTTGTCTCCATCGTAGCCGATATGCTTCATTGGACTTTGCTCGACACCACGTAAAACAAAACCAGTTCCCTAAAATGGAAACCTTACGATATCAGCTAGTCGTCAGGTTGTGTCCAGAACTCACATCAAGTACTTTTTGTAACAATGTGTGAGCGAGACAAGATAGTTGCTGTGTCTTTGCTATTCTTTCTGGCTGTTCCTCGATTATGTGAAGAGCTTCAGAAGCTGCAGTGGCTAGTAGAGGTGGTAGTGAGGCAGAGAAGCAATAACCTTGTCCTACAAATGTTTGTCTTTATCATTTCGATGTTATTTTTTCCAAATTATCTATTTTTCTTCCGTACTCTTCGCTCTTCTCACATAGACATTCATAACTACCTGACAACCGTTGATGAGCCACAATGTAAGATCGTCCTACGCAGAACCCTCCAGTAGAAGCGATGGCGTTCTCCAACGAACTCATAATCATATCAACGTCTTCGATTGGCACTCCAAAATGCTCAGTAACACCTGAAATCTCAAGAATCACAACATTCACTTTCATTGTCGTCTTGTTTCTTTTGTATTTCTTGTCACAATGTGTTGTCTTCAAACAACTAGCTTGATGTCTCTATACAGTGGAAAGAAAGATAAGCTAATATTCCATAAACAAACACCATAAATAGTATTTAGCAGATGTATAAAAGTCTTTGTTCGGCAAGGTTTTCCATTATCATACCAAGACAAGACTCTCAAGTAGCATCCCCCAATCTCTCTGAATCTTTTCTCTTTGATTTTCAAAGACATTTTTCGTTCCATGGCTGCCACACACACCACACACAGGTTTCCCATATCTTCTCCCTTTAAATCCATGGCTTAGCCACTGCCAATTGTCCTCCTCCTTTCCTGCCGCTATATTACGCGGTTTTCTCTCCTCTCCTTTCCACATATTTTTCAATCTCCCTGTTAAGTAACTCTTATAACTGATCGTCTGTTTCATCAAGGACACATACACAACGCTCACTCTGCTCATTTTACTGAAACTCAAACTTCTACTTAAAGAAAGAGAGAGAGACAGTAAATGGTAAATCAAACATCTACAACTGTGACACATCTTTCATCTTCTCACTTCGTCTCTGATTCTATTTATATGTTCTTATTTCTTTTATTAGACACATTTCAGATGATAATACACGTCATATATGTACTAACTTTAACTCAAAACATCTTCGGCCTACCTGATCCCCATCATCTAACATGGAGATCACCTAATTTAGAAGATACGCCAGAAGATCCAGAAGTGCTCCGAAACAGGGTAAGATCGAAAGAGCAGAGATCAAATATAATAAGAAATAGCACGAGCATGAAAGGCGAACTGGTTTTTATCACGGAATCGAGACATGTGTCATTCTGGTTCTTACATGAATATACTTTATGAACTAATTAAAAAAAGCCTTATCACATGTTTCGGGGTTGTCCTACTGCCATCATAACTCATCTTTTTTCGGTTCCACCTCGTGACTTCACAGTCTCCAAGGAATTTCGAGGGTTTGAACTTGATGACATCGACAATACTGGGGTACCTGCATGTGATGAAAACAATGCTCCGGACAGGTAAAAGCTACCCCATGAACTTAGCTCATCTAAGCTTACAGCTATATGGTATACTGCAGCGGAAAGCTTCTTCAAGCTGTCATGGCCACTCATCTTTATCCCGATTCAAAATCTTTTGTTGATAAGCCGATCAAAGAGAATAAAACAGCGAAAGCTATTGCAGAAAGTTTTGAGAAAAGGTTTCGTTTCTCTTTCACTCTCTCAAAGACCGTACGGATTCCCAGATTTCCACAACCTATAGAAGAAATAAATCCTGAAGATGTCAAGAGGTTCGTGGATGAGAACTTCGATAAGGAAGGACAAGAACTTGAAGAGTTTGTTTCAACACTATTTCATCCGACAGCTAACTTTTTCAGATGTAATTTGGTTGACTGGATCAAGAACCCTCCTAATATCACTGAAATCAGGGATCAGACTTTGAGGAAGTTCGCTCTCGATTTGCATAATGTTTGGACCAAACTCTGCCGTCAGGTACAGCCAGTAAGTCTTTTGACTTCAAGCGAACGATTGATTTAGGTAAAGACGATTGTCAGAGATCAACCAGAGAGATTTTCTCTTATGTACGTTCCACATCCTTTCATAGCCCCGGGAGGAAGATTCCGTGAAAACTATTACTGGGATGCTTACTGGATCATGAAAGGACTGCTTGTTTCCGGCATGCAACACACAGTTCGAGGAATGATTCACAATTTCGCTCATTTCATAGAAAAACATGGTTTGATCCCAAACGGCGGTAGAGTATATTATCTGGGGGTAAGTATAGCGAAACTTCATGTAAACCCCACTAATCTTCAGAGATCACAACCTCCCATGTTCATTCCTATGGTTTACGACTACTACGAGTATACAGGAGATATAGAATTTGTGAAAGAGATGATGCCTTTCATGGAACAAGAAATGGAGTTCTGGAGAAGAAACAGAGCAGTGCAAGTAGAGACAAGCCATGGCAATGTCACAGTTTATCAGTACCGATCACCCGTAACCACCCCAAGGTACGGAACCTTTATACGACCATGGAGACTCTGCTTTTCAGGCCAGAATCGTATAGAGAAGACATTATCTCAGCTTACAATGTATCAAAGTCTGAGAAACACAAGTTCTTCCAAAACATCGCCAGTGCCGCTGAATCAGGTTGGGATTTCAGCACCAGGTGAGATAGCAAGCGTTATTTTTATCGTATGCAACGTTTCAAGATGGATGGCTGACAAAAAAAATCTACACACGATTGAAACTACCAACATCGTGCCATCGGACTTAAACGCTTTCCTTTGCTACAACATGAACTTGCTGGCCCATCTGCATGCCGAAATAGGTTAGTTAGAAAGGATATTCAGACACATTGCCGTTCTTTTAGGAAATCATGACAAGGTTCAGAAATGGAAGTCCGAGTATATCGATTTCAGAAACGTTTTCAAGCAAGTGTTCTATGTATCGAAGGGCAGGGGATGGTTAGTTATATGAAAAGAGTAGGACCAACTATGGGATGTTTTAGGTACGATTATAACCTCGTCACAAAAGATCACAATCTCGACTTCTTCCCTTCAATTGCCATCCCTCTCTATACTCAATGCTATGACCCATTGAGTACAAGATTGCCTGAAGATGTCTACAATCAAATGGATAGCATGGGAGTTTTTAAATTCGCAGGTGGCATTCCTACTAGGTGAGAGAAACTTGTCTTAAACTAGATCTATTGATATCATTGAAGCTTACAACCTAATAGCGAACAGCAATGGGATTATCCTAATGGATGGAGTCCTCTGAACCACATGGTCATAGAAGGGTTGCGGAAATCAACCAACTCGAGGTTAGTCCTCTCATCATTACCATCAATCAGTAACAACTCAGGATGCAACAAAAAGCTTACGAGCTCGCTGAGAAATGGGTGATGTCGAACTTGAGGGTTTTCCAAAAAGACAAGATGATGTGGGAAAAATATGATGTTGTTGCAACAAAACCCAGAACAGGAGACGGGGGAGAATACGAAGTTCAAGTAACTAATGATTAGAGATTATTAAAGAAACAACCAAACTTCAGGCTGGTTTTGGATGGACTAATGGCGTTGTATTAGATCTTCTCTACAAATACCGTGAGCGAATGCGTTATCCAGACATCCATCCACCAATCATTCCCGTCCCTCAAATATTCAGAAACCCCGCAGCCATTGTTCATAGAGATGTGGAGAATAGTTCCACAAGCTACCGAGCTTTCATAGTTTCCTTATTCGTTTCATTACTCTTAATCTTTTGACGGGCACATTGACATTCTAATCTTTCACTTAATATTACTGGTAACACTATAGGCAATCGATATTCCTTATGTGTATTTTGAAAGTCGAAAAATAAAGATTAAACTAACCTCTTCCTGTTTTTCCAACAACTCCAAACGACCAGCTTTCGTCAATGAAGACACGCACCTGAACACAACCAACTCCAACGCCGAAACGTTTGAAAATGAAATACCTTGTATTTCCATTTCAGCTCAATAATTTTAGGGAGCGGGCAAAGATCTCCAGAATTAGCATAAAGACCTTCGACAACTAGGAATCTTCTGATCTTGCTAGCCTGTTTAGGATGCTATATAAGGCATTAGAATGAGTTGGTTCTGCAATGTGGCAAACCTGAGCATCCCATTCAGCCTGTTTAATCAATAAACGTTCTAAGTCTTCCATATCATTGTGATTGAAATATTCGATTTTACTGCGAGAAGCTTGAATACCTTTTTGGATGGCAAAATTGGCATCTGAAATGAGCGAAATAGCTTCAGGTGATTGATCATCTTACATACTTCTATCAACATAGATGATGTCCCCTGATTTCGCATAGGCTGAAATGGCACTAGCGATAGTAGCAAAGCCGTAACTGTAGAGAACAGCTTCTTCAGTTCCCATGAACCTTCAAAATTATAAAGTTAAACCAGAAGTTTTGTAAGGAACATACTTAGCTAAGTCACTTTCCAAGTCTAAATGAACATCGACAGTACCATAGAAACCACGTGGACCACAAGAACCGACTCCATACTTGTAAATTGTCTTCTTTGCTACTTCCTGAAATTATATTTGAGGAAAGATATGTTACTTAGAGGATACTTCAATTCTAGGTTCCCCAACCAGACTCAGGAAGTTTGAGGTGGAGAAGTTCAGATACTTCTTGCCCTCAATTTCTACATTCTTGGTGATTTTTCTGCAATTCAAAGTATTTCAAGAAAATGAAAAAAAGTTTTATACCCATCAATCAACTTCACATTCAAGGCATGATGGTCAGGCTGTGTTTCAGGCACTAAAGGTTCGGGAGACCATTTTGACAAAATTTCATCGATTTCCTCGAAACAAAAATTATAAATAATATAGGTGGAAAAGCTACTTCTTACCTCTTCCGACAACTTGGGTGTTTTCACTTTCACAGGCTTGAACGATTTCTTTACAAAGTAATAGATAATGAAAGTGACGATGCTAACTAATACTATGGTGCCTAGACCGAAACCTTTATTAGGCTGCAACAGGAGAACAGTAAAGCAAAGACATAGAGAAACTTACCTCTGTAGAGTCCATGGTCGAGAGAGCAAGAGGTAGGCAACCCTGAAACTACAAAGTTGATTGAATGAATCATAACGCAGTGATTTTAAGCTCAAAATATGGATCCTGCGTATGACACATCGGTTAAAAGTTTAGTGTAAACGAATGGCGCCATTGATGACGGATCGTTAACGAGGGCAGAGTACAAAAGAGAGAGAAGAGACGAACTGACAGGAAATGATATGAAAAGATAATAAGTTGACTATAATTGGTTCAAGTAGAACTGAAAGTTTTGGCTCAAAGAACTCAGGGGAGAAGGACGTTCTATCAGAAGACCAGCAAAAGCAAACAAAGTTCTGAGTCTGAACAAACAAATAGAAGAATATTATGTAGTTCCCAACGACCCAGATTGAAACTGGACAATTTGAAAAAAAGCATTAAATTCAAATTTTTATTAAAATTTGCTTTTGCGAGGAACACAAACAAGGTAACAACTGATTCACTCGCGCAGCACCAACAAGTTACTTGTATTTCGTCATTTTCTGGAAGGAACGTAACAGTACTAAAGCTTGAACACATGCTAAACAACCTTTTTATGGAACTTTTTCCGGTTCTTCGAGGTTGAATGGAATACATCATCAGGTATAGAGCCTGCAGTTGTATTCATATCTGTGCCAATAGCAGAATCCACAGAGCTCAACTGCAACGAAGGACGTTGCGATGGAAACGAAACACCATTATACAGACCTTTCTCTTCAAAGATTTCTCAGTGCTCTCCTCTACTTCTTCTCTGGATATAGCAGTACCTATATCCATGACTTCGCAAGCTTGATTTTCCAATACTTCCTCCCTATATGATGAATGACTATGACTTGAATAGAAAGCAACTCTAACCGTATCCTTCTTATATTTTCTTCTATGTTAGCAGTCTTCAAGTCGTCATCACTTAAACTCAACATGGAGAGAATCTTTTTAGTATCAGGCAAAGAGTTGATAGATCCCGCGTTTAAGAGTTTGGACACCAACCTGAGATCTTCGAGCGATTTAGGAAAACTATAAAAATAAATTATGAAACCTCACTAATGACTACCTCGGGTCCACGGCAATGAAGTGTTTTGCAACGGAGCTGTAGGCTTCACAGATTTTCTTCGTTTGGTCAGGAATCATATAAAAGATATCCGCACATACTCCGATAACAAAGACACCGAGCTTCTCCTATAATTCAAAATTGAAAGAAGAATGTTCAATACGACATACCCAATGATTAATTTGAATATATCCAAACAGTTTATTAACTAAGCTAACCATTAACTTTGACATCTGAATGGGATTTGAATGAACTGATGTGAAGGTAGAAACTCACTCTTTCTAAAAGGAAAAGCTGTGCCACGAAAGAAGCGGCTATATGCATACTCATTTCAGGAGTTAATTGATAGAAGTAAGTATTGAACTTTTCTATTTTCTGAGTTCGAGTCGTCTTAGGAGGAGAAGGAAGACTTAGAACTTACGGTACTGACAGTGTTCAACAGTTCCAGGAGATTATTACTTTGATATTTCCTAAACGTAGTATGAACGGCAATAACATCTCTCCAATAACTCTGAAGATATGATCAATTTCTAATCCAATCTCTATTCACAACATACCTGACGTCTCTGCTGAGATTTCCTTTTATATATTAAAGAATTAAAAATTTTGTCTATTTTCGCAGGATATCGTTTCTGCTGCTGTCCTATCTAGAAGAATTCTGTTAAGAAAACACAGAAAGTTATCAATTACCAAGTTTTTTAAACCCAAGGATAGTTCTCGAACGGATATCGAGCTACTCTCCGGAGTGCTTGAGAAATCCTTTGGTAACTTATTATGGCATCGATACTTGTTCACTAATTCTGTAAGAAGATATCTATGAGGATCCATACTCTGTAACTTACCTGCTATAACACTATCCTCGATCATGCTTCCATGTAAGCTAATGTTTTACATAAGACGCTCTACAGAAGGCTTGATGTGCCAATGGGTTATCAACTCTCGCTAGACGACCTACCTCTGCGTACACGAGATGTCACGTACGCAGAATCATAGAAAAATAGACAGTACAAACAGTAACAGCGGCATTGAATGAGATAGAAGGAAGAAAGATTATCATATTATTCTTGTGATATCGCCCAAGATAGGGTGAGCGTTTCATTTGAGAACTTTTGAAACTGATTTCCAAAATATCTCAGAGGGGCAGAGAGAACTGAAGACTGGCTTCAACAGAGACGGGCAGAGACGAGCTACACAACCGCTCTCTGCTGATGTAGATTAAAGAATAAAAATTCATATGTGCTGTTTCTTTGAATGTTTTGACGACAGTCTTCGATGCTATATTTCACTTCCTATTGATTCGCACTACCTCAAAGAATACAACTTCTAGTAATCTCCAAGCAATATAAGGTTCATCTAGATCGTGTGCTGGCCTGGACAGATAAACTTGAATTGAAATCGAGAAAGAATTGTTTTAAGTGGAAGTACTTTAGCTCTTGTTATGAGATTTGTATGACCTTTTCTAACTTCCGGAAACTATAAATGTCATCTGTCACTAAGGTTTTTCTAAATTGAAAACATAAACTGCGTGAGCCAACCAACAACTGCTGTTGACTTAGTCAATTCAGTTCCATATTAGTGTCTACATAAGATCTTTCGAGGAATAACCTGAGCAATAGCAAAATTGGCACTTCATATTCATAATCTGTAAAGCTTTATCAGCTTTAAGATAAAGTTGAGAATCTCCGAAGATGTAACTCTCTGGGTGGTCTGTAATGCTGCTCCTGTGTCAAGATGTGTTTTTTAATGTACGCAAGAAGTCGACTACAGTCCCGTATATAGTACTCCAAATAAGGTTTAGAATAATCTCCTGCATCATAGTACATATGAATATCTCATATGAAAGGTAAGATTTGTTGTTTTTGAGTGAAATCCAGCGTGTTTAGCATATTCTAATTAGCATATGAAAAGAACCGCTCAATTCACGGGACGTGAGCGCGCCTGATCTCATTTTAATTTTGCGTGTGTTGATTACCGGTCGAACCTGCAGCTTCTCCCGAAAAACGACAATAAATGTGAGTTTACAACGAAACTTTTTATTTTCTGTGTGTTTTGAATCGTTGTTTAAATGGACTTTCTCATCTCTATTCCATGAAAGCTTCTCCTTTGAGTATTTGTTTGCCTCGAATGGCGTACCTCTGTTGTAGTCACTTCATGATCATAATAAAATCAAGTTGGTCGAGCGGGTAATACCGCATGTCCAAATATGAGCTGCATGACAGCATACTGGCAAGAAGATAGAACTCAACCAAACGGACTGTTTGTTGATGTGTTTGTTTCTGGTCCAGAATTGTTCCATCGATATTCAATCGTGTCGAAATGGTTCTAATCGGTCTGTCGAGTGTTCCAAGTGGTTCTCCCTGTCCGTTTTGGGTACTCTGATTTTTTATTATTCTTGCCTCCTTGTTAGGATTCGCTGAGCCAAGGTATGCGATTAGTTCCGACTCAGGCCTGCAGATGTCCATATTTGAACGAATATGAGCTCCAGCCAATACCCATTTATAGTACGTTAGGTAAACAGAGCTGTGAGGATCAGCATCTTTTCTTTTCATTTCTCTCAGCCGTTGTGACACAGACAACTTAAGAGTATTCTTGTATTTCTCTATATTTGTGAACTCACAGTCATCTTGCAATAATTAGTGTAATGATGCCCCATCTTCGAACATACTGCTAGTTGTTTTTCCTTGTAATACGATAGTTATGGCTTCTTTTTGTTCTTCCCTCATACTTACTGATCATTTCTTACAAAAGAATTGAGATGACTAGCAATATCTCTAGCCAAATGGTTATGCTTAGTCTTAGTTTCACCTTCTCTTTGAAACAAGCTCATTGCATTGTGTCACCTGCCGGCTTCTTGCTTCTATGAATCTGCTTTTGCACAGGCATGAGCATTCTAATCGCTGTTGTTGAAACAAAATGTTTCAAGTGAATCTTATATTTTTATTTGCTTTATTAAGACGTACATAACATGCAGGAGAAAGAGAGGGAAGCTGACCAGTCTGGGTCCACCTAGATTGCACCGGTCCATCTCTACTTTTCTATCTGTCCATCATCCTCTTCTTCTTGTGCTTTTCATCTCTATATTTATTTCTTTATCTAGTTTCCCCAACTCTCTCGAGTTTTCTTCTTCGAATGAATTTTTATTTGGCAACTATCTATCGTTGTGCTGTACGGCAGAATGAGAAGTGCTCAGCGAAGAGCACGGCGACCTAAAACAATGCATTCCCATAGAAATGGTATTCTGCCAACATACTATTAGCTCTTTGGCATGCTTTTTCACTCACTAACATCAAACTCTATACCTTCTATCTGAAAAATCTGTATTGCCTCAGATGTCATCTACTCAATTCTATTGTATACTATATATTTGAATTTAATGCACGACAACTCAATTGACACTTAAAATAAAATTTACATCAGAATAAATGAGATGAGAAAAGACGTGATAGTTTACTAGAATATGAGAGAATAATAGATGTGAATAGATGAGGTAGTGAATGAGAGAGAGATAGAGAGAAAGATAGAGAGAGATAGTGTGTAAAAGGGATGTAACGGATCGTCGGTAGCTGGCTAGTTGGTTTTGATTTGTATAAACAAACCAGAAAATGACCTTCTGTATCAATTATCATAAAGAGTATATGTTGGTGTATCGTAATTATCAATGTACTACTGATCGCTTAATCACCTGCTGAGTATCTTCTGTTTCTCTTTTGCCCCCCAACCATCTGAATTGATTCTATGCAAATCGTATTTTTGTCTACTTCCTTTTAACTATTACATTATACTGTATTGCATGATACTTTGTCCTCAATGAGTCATTCATTACATCAGCTGTCATCTTGTCTCGGACTTAGCTACTCAGACCCATATGAAGTAATGAAGCATTATGTCAATGAGAGTCCATTATCATTTCATTAATCAGATTATCTTGTTTATCACAAATTTCTTTTCATTTCCCAATTGACGTTGCGTTTTTTGGTATTTCCAACCATTTCGAACACAATGTGCGATGTGTCTCTTTCATTTGATGCTTTACATGCCATTTGCACTAGGTAACATCCTCCAAGTAGTTGTATATCCGGTTCTGAAGAAGCAATTTTGTCAAATTTATTACTATTTCCATAGGTCGTCTCACATATAATTGCTTGGAATGATGAAGATATTTCGTTTTTCTTCTTCATTTTTTAAGATTTATTTATGGAGTTGTTGACCTTTTGTTTTCATGCCCCCTTCATTGCATTCCATTCCTTTACCATCATGATCCCTCTCTCCTCTCTCCTCTTCACATCTTAAGGTAATCACACTACCATCAGACATACAGTCGTCATAATGACTTCTGAATGCTAATTGCAAACTGCTATTTGCAATATTTCTCTCTCTCTCTCTTCTCTGGCTTCTTTCTTTTAAAGATAGATTAGTATGTGAGATATGATTAGCGGATTCTCTACATTCTAATATTCCTTCCTACCTGATTCATATTTTTAATGTCTTTATGTATTCATTCTGTCGCTAAATTTTAACGCTTCATCCATATTGTCCGTTTATCGGCTCTTTCAATCTTACTTGGTTTTCGTCTTCTCATTTGAACGGATTGTTCACATCAGATTTCTCTCCCAATCGTTTTCTTTCTTTCCTTTTCATTTTTTTTTCTTTTCCTTCTTCAAACTGTATTCTCGCACATCATTCATATTCAGCAAACGACGATGTCTTTGACTCAGTAATTTGTTCGGTTGATTCGAAAAAGTATATGGATGATTCAGATGTTATTTGTGCATTCCGTCGTCATGTCTCCTTCTTCTTCTCCTCTTTGATCATCTCATAGTTGCTTTCTACTTTCATTTTGTATTTCTTAAACATAATCATTTGCAATTAAAGGATTAAAATGAACAACATATCTTGTTCATTTTCTACTTTTCACTTTCTCTTTCCATCTCTCCCTCTCTCTCTCTCTATTGCTATGTGTAGTTACTCTCATATCCACCTCTACGGGGAAGAGGTGGACTGGGGGGTTAAGTTCATTATTTATCCGTTTTTTACATTTTACAAAAAAAAAGAGGAAAAAAACCTTTTTTTCAACTGAATAATCATGAAGAGAAACTAGATTGTTCATATGTTCATTTGAAAAAGGTTTATGTTGTCATTTCATATACAAAATGTCTGTCTATTTATCCGAAAAATGTACAAAACAATGACTGTCTACTTTCATCCTTATAATGCCTTTTGCTTCATCGATGTTAACCGGTCCTAGAACTTGTGAATCATATTATCAACTTATTCTGAAATAGGTTGTTTGCGCTTATATCTTTCCTCGTTCATCATTCTACCTTATCATTATCATTTTCATCATCATCATCATCATCATTAACATCATTCTTAACATGATTATCATTGTCTTCTTTTGCTTTTCTTTCATACATGTGTTGTTTGCCATGTTCAAACAGTTTGAAGCTTAACATTCATTTTGAACTGACCAATCATCTAAGTCATTCTTCTTGTTATCACTTCTGGACGTGTTCGTTTTTCGAAAAAAAAAAAGGAAAATTAGAATCTAAGGACATAAACTGATTATGGCGACAGCAGGCTAGTTATAGATGATTCAAATGCGTTTTCCTTACCGGTTTCTGCTCCATTCTCACACCTTGTGCTTAAGCTCCTTTTTTGAAAGCTATTTATAGCTATAGAGCGGTGTGTTGACATAATTTTCTGTTGATAATTTATATGATTATGGCTACACCTAAAGATTGACTTGTTCAGCTTCTTCAAGTCATTACTAGAGCCCCCCCCCCCCCCCCCCGTTATCACCTGTTACTAGGTCTTCTTATTCTTCAAACGTTAACTGTTAATCATCAATGTGTGATTTAGTTTATACTTTGATCTTCTTCCTTCCGATATCGTTGAAGCTTGAAGACGTTCCGTCTTTCATATTAGAACGCATTCCCCTTTGTACTCAACCTTTGCATCACAATGCCAAGTGTTTCATTCTTCAACTCTCATGCTCATGTCATCTCATCTTTTTTTTTTCGTCTCTTTTACTCTTTTTCATGCGAGTTTAACATACCCGAAACTAGTCTGGCTCAAAGCTCATAAGTGAATGTCTTGATTGTCGTTCGCTACTACTGAAAGTGTCTTTGTTTGTCAGAAAAATGAAAAGGCCAAGTTCACGTATCAACCGGGACTGTCTTGTGTGACTCTTTCGATTCTTTGATGTTCTAACCACATATCCGGTCGGAGAAATTGCCCTACAGTCTCCTATTTTACAATGTTCTTTCATTGACGTCTTTACGTATTGAGCTTTACATTGAATTGGCTTTTACGATTTTTTTTTGTTTGCTTCATCTTTGTCATCACTTCCTCAAGCTATACAACAGTAATTTGTATGACGTGAGCTCATCTGCATATACGAATCCGTTTATCTCTCTCTACTCTTCCCCCCTTGCACCCTCCACCCCCCCTCTCTCCTTATCATCAAATCTGTATCATGTTTCCAATTAAAGCTGTAAGGAATATGTGATAAACAAGATTTGTGAAGCAAATTCCATTTGTTTTTTGCATTATCATCAACATTAGTCCTTAAGACATTCTCTCATTAATACTTTTTTATTTTTATTTAGTTTCTTCATTGGTTTCTTAACAAATTTGTTTTGTTGGCTTTAGTTTATTGCGATCATTATCACTCTCTCTCTCTCTCTCTCTATCACTCCCTCCCTCTCCCTCTCTCATGGTGTTAGCTTTGAAAGCTCATTCTTCATAAATCAGAAACTATGAAACTAAGCTGTTGTTTTCATTCAGCTGATCATCTCTATGAGTTATCTCCTATATCTCATTCTTCATCTATTGATTTTGAGTTAGCGGTCTGTTCCATCAATCAGTGATTATTGATTATTTAAAAGAAAGTTAATAAGTTGGAAGGAAGTTAAGTAAAGATACTAAAAATTTTTCTTTTGTTAAGTGTATTTATCATTGCGATTAGAAGCAAATGTGATTGTTTGTTATCCTCAATCCTTCTTTCTTTCAACATCACGTATAAGTGTTGTCTCACTTTCTTTTCGGCAGTGTTATCAAATGGCTTTTTTTTCTCTTTGTCAGCGAGTCAAAAAAATAAGTTTATATCTTTTTCATTCTTCATCCCCTCTCTCTCTCTCTCACTCCCTCTTCCTCCCTTTCACTCCTTCAGTTTCCATCTTTTGAACCTCAACTATACTAGATCAGAGATTGATTGGTTACTTAATATCATCCAAATCAAAGCTTTGCGTTTTTCTGTGTGGATGTCTCTGTGTGTGTGTGTGCTTCTTCAAGCATTGGATCCTCCTACTCGTATCTGATGAGCTTATGCACGGAACAGCTGTTCATATCTTTTTGAAATGAATTTTGCCTTGAGCGATATGTATCCCATCTTGTTTCTCATATCCACCTCCTCTTTTCCATTTTTCTATCCATATCATTTCATAGTTGTATGATAACTCTGTAATACACTTTCACATTCTTGTTATTGCTGTTCGTAGCTTGCCCTGATGCCAGCCTGAACTGATATACAAACATTTTGTATTCGCTTGTCACATCTCGGATTTTTTGATGTGTTTACCGTCTTCACCTGTTTATTTCATCTTCTTCTTCGTCTCTGTCTTCTTCTTCTTCTTATTCTTCATCATCTTCTTCTTCTTCGTCTTCATCATCATCAGCACCATCATCATCTTCTTCTTCTTCTTCTTCTTCGTCTTTTCCGTTGATGTCGTCGCCCTCTTTTTCGTTTTCTTCTATAACCTCCTTCCAGCTTCAACATTTCAATCATTAACCACTTGTTGAGAGATTTTGATGGCGAACGATAACAATTCCTTGTGGTCGTCTTCGAAAATCCCACACGTCCACCATCCTACCGGCTTCTTGTTTGTGCTGCAGGACTTTTAGCCCAAATAGTATAATTGCTGCAAAGCTCTTTTATATTCCAGCTATCTCTAACTCCATTTTTCATGTTCTCATATTGCCTGAGGAGAAGCTCTTTCGCATTAAAAGCTTCTCTATAGTCATGTTTGATGTAGAGAAAAAAAAGCTACCTAAGAGCTTTTCGTATGACAAATCACTCAGAGGTTATTCATGTCACCCCTCCTTTTCTATTTTTCCATTTTTCCGCATCTATGATACCTTTCTCGAATGATTCATAGTTCACACGTAACAGCCGATAAGGACAGTACGTCTGACATTCCATTCCTCTCATACTATTTTCTTTTTTTTTTCAAAACAGTTCTTAGTAAGTATGCAGTTTCCGTTCGCTATTCATATGATTCATGTTATTATCATTCAACTTCCATAATCATTCTGATCTTTCCTCCTAACTCCTCTCAACTCTTGACAACCGTGTCGAGTCGAGCTTCAAACACTTTCTTTTCGCTTTTCTTTCTTTTTGACATCTGTCTGAGCTTTTTTGAAAAAAAAAGCTTAAACAGTCCTCGAACTGTTAAATACTTGTTAAAGTATGGCGATATCCAATGGATTTGCTGACAATTCACGCAAATCTATGTGTAACCTGCCTTCTTCTCCATCTTTCTCTTCATCTTTTCGTCCGGAAAACTGGATTGAAGTTCTCAGATGAGGTCTGTGTGTGTATAGTGCTGAAGACATTCTCCTCCTCCCGTAAATTTCAATACATACGATAGAGACAGGCTGAAGTGACTTCTGAAGTTCAAAGGAACAACCATTACATCTAATAATCCCAAGCTTATAGTATTCGTAGTCTTAAATATATAAGTTATTGGTTGACAAAAAAAAAAGAAAGAGAAAGAAAAGTTATCTGTCAATACACACAGAGAGTGTGGATGGTATGCGGAAGGAAGCCGCCGTCAAAGGCGGTATGAATGCATTGTATTCACACCAAATCTGACCTTCTTCCCCTATATCGCCTTGGACTAGTAGAGATGTTGTTAGTACTCATCATGTTTCTTATAATGTTATTAGATAATAGATACATCTATTCCATGTCCTTGACGACATTTTTTAATAACAAAATAAGAAAAGTTAGATATAGATTCTTATATTTCAATCGTCTTCAACCAACTTACATATCTACACTCGATTCCATGTCTGACTCACAGAACGGTTGCTTCCTCATATCCATTAGATTCTTCGTTCTCTCTCTCTCCCTTAACCTCTCTCTCTCTCTCTCTCTCTCTCTCTCTCTCTATTCCTTATTCTCCTTATATTTTTCAACATTTTTCTTGTCTTTCATAACCTGTATGAAAGGTCTATAGACTAACCGTTTGTCGACCTGACAACTTGTCAATCCATTCTATTCATTTCTGCCGGAGGCGCTATTCTGTATGTATTGCAAGGCAATTTAAGTTTGAACAATTATCTTCTGGTTCATCTTAGCTATACAATAGAAGAAAATCTATAATTTTAAAAGAATTATTTATTCTTCTCAATCAGCTCATCATTCACATCTGCTTTTTTTTGGATTTTGCAAGGTTAAAACGAAAGACTGAGCAAATACACTGTTCGTCAACGTCCAAGAAGACGATTCAACTGAGAATCATCAATATGGAACAGTCTTGGTTTGATTGCCATATGATTATTCGTTATAATCTGTTAAAATACATTTGGAGTATGTTTGATTTCCATATATAGATATCCTCTTAGAAGCTCTCTCTCTCCCTCTCTCATCACCATACACACTTGACATATGATAGCTTCTTACCTTTGCCCTATTCTATTGTATAACTCAAAATATGCATATATATGCTTATTCATCATTATAGCTTATGCTAATTATATTATTATATAATTACCAAAAGTGATGTCGTTTCAGTTGAACGATGTTCCGTTTACCGCAATCAAGGCAATTATCCGTTGAAACTGTCAGTTTGTTCTGTTTTTCATATGAATCTTCCTGACCTTGTCGTTCGACACACCTTTTGCAAAAGAGAACCAGTGGTCTGTTTCTGGTTAACCATGCATTCGCATTCGTTAACTATGCGTTCAAGTACTTCATATCTAACCAATAGTGCTCCATCTGACCCTCATCTCTTGACAATTGTTTCTTCTGTTTTCTCCATAATCTATCAAGTAAAACAATTTTTCTTTTCATTTAACAAAAACCAGAAGAAGAAGAAGAAGAAGATGTCATTCCCTCCAAATATGAATGTGTCATTTCGTTAACAAGTTTCTATAGAGTGAATGAGGGCATTTCTGGTTGTATCAAACGATTTTGAGCTTCATCTTCACTTTTATTGAACATAGCTTACAATCAATTGAGATGTTTCTCAAATGAACGTTTTAAAACAGCTGCCACTCTGATCTTGTACGACTTTCCAATCTGGAGCAACTATTCCATCCAATCCTCACTCTGTCCTATGACTTCTCTTCGATCAAGACCGTCATCCCTTGAAATGCTTTACATTCCTTCACCTTCTTCTCTACACGTGTTCATCCTTGAAACCATCCCATTACTCATCTTTTTCCTTTTTTTTTTCTTTTCTCAAACATCTTATCAATGCTCTTCCTGAAGACTTGAGCAAATCCATTGATTATCGATTATCTGATTGCTTCTCGTTATTATTTTTATTTGAAATTTTGTTTCCGTTTCACTTGTTTTCCTTCAACCATCCAACCTTTGAAACAACTGACTGACTTCATCTCTTTCACCACAATAATATGTTTTTTTGTTCGTTTATTCTTATACTTTCTACAAACTTTTTTCTATTTCATGCTTCATTTCATTGTTTCAGATTTGATTTCAACACATCTGTTGGCTGTGTCATTAACAGTCAACGATGATTGGACATCCTATTCTTAACGTAATTTATTCCAGATGCTCTTCATATACTAATCTATGCTTACTTCTAGGAAATCAAACAAGGATTCAAACTTCGACCGACTAAGACTGTTGATAAATCTAAGCCACTATTCAAAGCAGACGGGGAAGATGATAACTCTATAGATCCAAATCGTAGAACACCAAGCGGCATGCCACCTCCACCATGCACTGCTCCCCCACCACCTCCTACAATGCCATTACCTCCTGGAGCTCCCCCACCACCTCCTGGTATCAATAGGTACAAATCTTTGTTTTTTTTCTGCAACTCAAACTCTTTCATTATAGAGCTAAGTCTCCAGGCATAAGCAAGCTTGGAGGTTCAACACCTGCGGATGTTGATCGAAATGCTTTGCTTAAAGGAATTCAAGGAGGTGTTCGACTACGAAAAACTGTTACTCAAGACAAAAGTGGACTTGTTATCGACGAAGAAATGAGATCACAGTCTATGAAGAAGTGTGATGTTTCACCATCTAGCACTTTACCACCTCCACCGCCACCACCACCTCTACCAATGGCTCCTCCACCACCACCAGCTATGAATGCAGCTCCACCTCCTCCAAAGATAAATAGGTATGAACCCCCCTGAACATCTTCAAGTATCAATGTTCTTTTTTCAGAGCTCTTTCTCCGGGGTTAGCGAAATTGGGAGGATCAACACCAACTGATGTGGATCTTGGCCAATTACTTAAAGGAATTCAAGGAGGAATTCGCTTACGAAAAACAGTCACGCAGGATAAGAGTGGCCTCATAATTGACGACGAAATGAAAGAGAAATCAATGAAAATATGTGAAGCAGCACCATGTAGCTATATTCCACCTCCCCCTAAAGCTAATCCTCCATCTCGAGCCAAATCGCCAAATGTATTGCTTCCTGAGTCTTCAGAAGATGAGAGGTTACTTTTCGAAACGGAGATCAATTGAAATAATTAAATTTTTAAGATATCAAACACCGGATGGTCGTGGCTCCAAATACACAACGCCCGAGCCAGGAGATTATTCCCCACCAACACCACGTCGTCATAGTGCCACTCCTGAACCAAAGCCTTTGAAGAAATGTGATTATGCCTTTGATGAGCGTAATCTAAAGGTCACATCTGAGGTTTGAATTTACTTTTTTCTGAAACATATCGGAAATGAAATTAATCTCGTTTCGAATTCAATTGCTATCTATGTGTTCACCAAAGAATGAAAATTCGTTCTTGGATGTTTGTCCGACACAGCTTTACAAAACAATTTTATTTTTTAGGATTTGCAAAAGGAAATCAAGAAAGGTGCTGCTGCTGCAAGAATTGCCGCTTTCATGAATGTAGACCAATCAACGATTGAGAATAATATTCAGAAGTCAGCTGTCAGTAAACTGCCAAAACCTTCCTTCTTAGAGGTTCGCATCATCATCATCTCCTCTCTGTTGTATAGCTTTTTTTTGTAAAGGTTAATAACAATCAGCCATCATCCAAGCCAAAACCTGTCTCCAAATGGGCTCCTGTCGAAGTTGGAGGACTGAAACGTCCCAGTCAAGGTAATTAAACAGTTGTTTTTCTTCACGTCACTTTTTTTCTTCTAGGAAATATACCTATGGAAAAGAATGAAAGAGCTAAGTCAGAATCTCGTTTCCCTACAAGGGAGCGAAGCTCATCCGCACTTGCTGAACCGACCAGCAACGAACGTGCTAGGACTCAAAGTCCTACTGGAGAACGCGAGAGATCTTCGAGCACCTTGGCTCAGCCTATTTCTATAAGGTTTACATCGCTTCTCTTCCTTCTTCTCATTATCGTTTCCAGAACGGATCTCACTCCCGAACCCGAAGTAGCACCTCAGAGAACGACCAAAAAATGGGTCAGACCAGAGATTGAGGAAACTCCTCCAACACCTAAAACATCTAAAGCTTCAGCTAACCCATACAGCTACCGACTGCCCCGGTTAGTTGATACATAAAAATTTCGGAAACCATTAATGTCGTTTAGATCGGAAAGTCCTGCTTCTACTTCTCCTATCTCATCCGTCTCTTCCGCTTCTATCCCTTCACCTTCATCTATATCTCCCGGTAGCACCTCTCCTGATGTTCCTAAAAGACGAAATCCGGCTTTCGACAAGGTGAGCTTGATATTATAAACATGAGGAAATGAATTCATGTTTAGGCCAAGGAGAGGTTTGTAAATGGCGCTGCCCCAGCTCCTCTCCAGACAACAGCTACTCCAACACCCAAGCCTGTCTCTAAGTCTATGAGCCCCAGACCATCGACCGAATCTTCGACTCCAAAGAAAGTCTCGGCAAGCTCAAAGACCAGCAGCAAAGATTCATCAGAATCATCGGAAGCTACTGTCAAACCCAAGAAAAGTGTTTCAAAATCTACGTTAACAACACCCAAAAGTAAAAATGCTGCAACGTCGCCTATTCCAAGTTTCACAAATAAGGAATCAGATCCGAAAGAGCAGACGAAGAAAACAGTTAAAGAGACTCAAACAACCAAAAAGGTATTTTTGAATAAATCAATCTTGAACTACGGTATAAGGATAAGCTAAGACAACTGATTTTAGAAGTAAAAGTATTTCATCTCTAGGTAAGGCGTTTGTTAACATACTAAGCAGTTTTTCATTTATTTTGAGTACAAAGTACTAATGTAAGCATGTGAAAACAATGTGTGTATGTGTCTGTTTCTATCTGACTCAAGTGTGTATGTGTGTGTTAAGGATTTTCTTAATTACATTTTCATTCAATAACCCTTTGCTATATTCTAGTTCCTACTTTCAGTTTGATGATTATGATAGCCCCCAACGTGTTATAAACATCCCCATTAATGCTCCATGGCATACTCCACGTGATTTTGCTCCTGAATCTCCACAAATGGTTTGTTTATAACCATTTATAGCATTCATCCATCACATTCAGGTTCATATTGGTATTGATCGTTTTGCCACGATGTCTCCTAGTGATTTCAATCGGAATTTCCGTTTTGACATCAACCTATCATCAGATTCTCCTCTTTCGATTATAAATCGTTAGATAGTATAAGCTTTGTATATTCTAATTTTCATTTTCTCTCCATATATGTATTTCGGGTCTTCACATCAAGTTTGTTTGGAGTGTCAGTCAGATGGTATCCTTTCTAACCGGTTTTCTTCTCTCCTCTTTCTCTCTGTACTTTTACATCAAAATGTATATCTCCATATAAGCATTTTCATTATTTTTGACAACTGGAGAGTATTTTATCCTTTAAACTGTCAGAAGGAGGTTTCTTTTGGTTAATTTTAATGTTGAAACAACATCTCAATTTTTTCCTTTTTTTTTTACTTTTTCATGATCCCCCCCCCCTCTTATGCATGTTCTTCATCCCTCTCTCTCTCTCTCTCTTTCTTATTGTTCATCCCTCTCTATCCCCTCTTCTCTCTCTCTCTCTTTTTCCCTCCCTCTCACTACTAGCATTATATATTTGTGGTTTATGTATATTCATAGGTATCCCTTTCAGCTTAAAGCTTTATTCTCTTACCTTCAATGGTTTGTTCTTGTAGAACACTATTCTCATTTGACTTCTAAATTTTGAAAATAGATTTTAGCAGTTTGTGTGTTGTTTTTCATTGTATTTTTAGAGATCACGCTAGTCATGACTCATGTGCCTGTTCAAAAAATGAATGTTTAGATTATTTAAAACAAAGAAAATTATTAATAAAACAATAGACATCCTAAAATTTAATCAAATAGGTTGAAGCATGCTTAAAGAATCAACAGACGTATAAGGGAGAGAATAAAAAACGCTTTTTTTGTTTTATAAAATATAAAAAAAAAAAAAATTTTCTTCCATAATCTGAAATTGTGCAGAAACAAATGATCGAACAATATTGAAAAGATCAAAGAAAGGGCTTTTCATGACAAAAAAAGAAAAGAGAAGAATAGATGGGTGAGGGGGAGAGGAAGTGAGATCATATGAGAGTATGAGAGATCATACAAAGGTGAAACATATATTAAGAGAGAGATACAGAGAGAGAGATTATGATGGAGAGACCAAAACCAAAAGTATCAGAGAGAGAGAGAGAATGAAGGGTAATGAGATGTAAAACAAGAGAGTGAGAGGTGGAAAATCCACACAACAGAGAGATCGTTATAGGTTAGTAAAGGAAAAAGGTTAGAAAAGAGATTTTTGAACGTGAAGTCATGAAGAGTCATCGTTTCACTTCCACTTTTGGTTATAGTTAGCCCATCTGAAAGATATAGATAAGAGATTTATATGGCTTTGTGTCCTTCTCAAGAGCTACTATCCGTTTCATCTAACTGAAAAGAGAAAGAAATAGTTATTTTAAATGTATTTTTTGGATTTTTAAATACAAAAATCTATTGATCGTCCCAAATATAATGCAAAAAATAATATAAAAATATAAGTTATCTTTCGACAATTTTCGTCAGTCAATTTTCATCGAAAAACGTCTGAATCTGTTTCTCACAAGAAGCATAACGTGACGTCACAGCCTTGTTAGGAAGAAGAAGAAGAAGAAGAAGAAGGAGGAACAACTACAGAATCAACTGAATCTTCAACTGTCTCAAACTAAATGCAAGTTATGATTAACTCTACACATATGCATATAATATAACTATAATATATAATATTAAGTAAAGATGAAACGAATTGAAAAAATATTTTTTTTTCTTTGATTCTTCTCTTGAAGACTATGACGACGACACGAACAGTGAAAGTAAAAGAGAAAAGAAAATGTGAAAGCAATGACTTTACCTCAAATGGATCAGCTGAAAACTCATCAGTATAGTCCAATATGGGTTGTGATCTGCGTATTCTCCACATCAGAGGCACGGACACCTATAACCATGTGAGCATGAGATGTATTATGAGATATAATATGATGTATGTATGTACCTGATAATATGCATCTGATGGATAACGATGAGGTATTCGCTTATAGAAAACTGGCACATCGTTCTGATATCGAAATGGAGAAGCAAACAGACAGGAAACAAAAAATGAAAAAAGCACACAGATAGTTGACAACCGCAGTAACATTTTTCTGAAAAATATGAGAATAAGTTAACATTTCTTTTCTTTTTGTTTCTTCTTTTCTTTTTTTTAAAACGTAAAGTTCAACAATTTGGAAATTCACGAGAACCAAGTATTTGGGTTGAAAATGGCAAGGAAGAGGATGAATGCCAAGTAGTTAAAGAGAGAGAGAAAGTGATATAGAGAGAGAGATAGATAGAGTAGTTGAGCTTGTCTGCAACATGGACTGATAATTTCAGCAGCTTTCACTCATTTGAAACAGTTGATAGCTCAAAATCTGAAGCCCGAACTACGTCGATGACATCATTGACTTCAAAAACGTGCAAGTTGAAGTCATTTGATTCAGCGACAACAAAACAGATCTCCAAATCTCTTTCAGACTATAATATCAAAAAGTGTATTGCCTAATTAGGGGGGAGGCGACTGAGAAGAAAACTTATTGAGTCTCGTCTGTGATATATAAGGATGAGCGACAAATGGTACGATATTTTGAATTGAATTGACTGAGAGAGAGAGAGAGTAAGATAAAGGAAAATTGAGAGGGAGGAAGAGATGAAGAGAGAGAAAGAGAGAGAGAGAGAGAAATTAAAAATTTGATATTTCAAAGCGAAACCAACAAATTAGGAATTTTCGGATTAATTCACTAAAATTTGTGAAATGTAGATGAAGAGCTTCTGATTCTTTGGTCATCATGTAGGAAGCTGAAAGTTGAATTCGTAATAAAGCCATATACGTAAGAAGGAATTTAATTTCTTTTTTACATATAGTAAACTAAAAATAAGTGAAAAGAGAGGGAGGGAGGAGTAGTGAGGAGGTTAGGGTGAAAGAAATATTTAAGAAAAATATAAAAGTGGAAGAGAGAGTGTTAGAGAGATAGAAAGAGAGAGAGAGAGCTATTTCAAGGATTGCTTATAAGCCAGCTTAACCTCCTTAATATGCGTAGGTTGATGGATTATCAAATGATTTTTGGAGAATAACAGGAAAGCGATCATTCGGTTTTGGTGAGATGACAAGTACTGCAATGTGCGTGTTCTTATTTATTTTTATCGTCTTCTTCTCCTTCCCTCTTTTCCCTTTCCCTTTTCTCTCTCTCTCTCTCTCTGTTACTCTCTTAAGAGAGATCTCTCTCTCTCTCTCTCTATAGCCTCTCTTTTAAACAAAATATAAACAAAGAGAAAATGAGTGAACCGTCTAGTCATTAAAATAGATTATGTGAGATGTATGTTATAATGGTTATTAAATTAATTTTCTTTATAAAATCAGTTTTGAAAATCCAATTATTGTTTGCAGAGACAGAGAAAATGACAGAAAAAATATAAAAAAAACAACAGGAAAAGATAATAAATTGGCTTTTGTTATCCCAAAAAAGACATTTGTCTTTCCGCTTCGATGACGAGATGATGACGATGTTAAAGATTACTTTATGATAAATGAGCATAGGAGGTGTAGAGAGATAGAGAGAGGTAGAGAGGAGAGAAAGCTCAAAGCAATTTTGGCTGCCTTTTTGAAGGCCAATTGATTAGACTATTCTGACGCTTGACTTTAATACATTTTCAAGAAACATCTGTTTGCCAATTGACTATTATGAATAATTAAGTAGAAAAGGTAACATGTGAAGATATGAGGTGAAATGACGAATTGAGAGGGCAATTGACACATAGAGAGAGTGAAATAGACGAATGATAGAGGTGAAAATGAGATATGGATAGATAGACAGAAAACGGATTACATATAGAGAGAGAATGAGAAGAAGGAGATGTAAGCAGGCAAAGTGGTTGGTGAATGAGAAGAAAAAAAAATCGTGGGGGTACGAGATAATCTGAGAAGATTAGAATAGAAAAAACTAATCAACCGCTCTTCACGTCTGTACAATCTGAAATAAAGCTTCACGTTTTGCATCACGTATGACGTAAAAACAAGACGGACAGCACGTTATGCTAATGTGTGGCATGGTTCCAAGGCTTATTAGCATAATTGAGATCAAAAAAGCAATTAATTGAGAAATACGTGAAGAGAAGCGATAAACAGAACGAGCAATGGCGAAAAACGTTCATGACGTGTTATAGCTGAACTCTCCCTCTCCCTCTCTCTCTCTATTTCTCTAATTCTCTCTCTATCTCTCTCTTACTCCCTCCTTTTTTTTTCATTTTCGCAATTATAAGTAAAAGTTTAGACAATAACTTTCTTAGAAAATTGTGACCTTTGACAGCACATTTAAGTTTCTAAAGATAGATGAAGTTTTTAATTAGTTCTTCGCATCTTTTATTAGACGAACATCCTTTTATCTTCTTCTCTCTCTCTTACACTATGCTCTCTATTGGCAGGAGGAGAGAAGATCGAAGAGCTAGTTAATCATGAGATCAAAGCTCTATTATCAATTATCAGATTATCATATCTTCTTCTTCTACAGCTCCTCAAGTGTTCACACATCTCTCTACATCCTTCTCTCTCTCTCTTTGATTTTCCAACACATCATTGACATTTCTTAAAATAGATAGAGGTTTCAATAACTTCCAAAAATGAGAAATAAAAGTGAAACGGAAGTAAAGCCGGAAATCCGAGTTCGCATAGAAAGGTAATGACTTAACAGAGTCAGTGCATTTCGTCACTACGCCCATATAGTTGACGGGATATTGCGACTGTACACTGCACAAAGTGATGAATGAAACGAAAATAGACGAGACAATGAGAGTCAGTTAGACAAAAGAAAAATATTTTTTTTTCAAATCCAAAATTGAAGTTCAATAGTGAGTGTATCGTTTAAGATTCCATCAATTTATATTGTTGACCAAAAAAATAAAAAAGAAACGGAATATTCAATGGTCACATAAAGCCCAAAAAAGGCTAATGCTGATTATGGATGCAAGTGAAGAAAGAGGTGGAGATATACAGAGAGAGAAAGAGAGAAAGGGAGGGAGGGAGAGAGGAGAGATAGACAAAGAGAGAGAAAGATTTATACAGAGAGTGATTTATACAGAGAGAGATTGAAAGATTAACAGAGAGAGAGAGAGAGCTCGAAAGATAAAGGAGAGTAGAGCTGTGCTCAAAAAACATGGTAAAAAGAGGTAAAATGACAAGAGGAAGGGAAATGATAACACATAAAAAGAGAAAGTAAAAAAAAGAAAAAAAAAGAAGAGGAGGAAAGAGTGTAGGAGCGAAAGGAAGCAACTAAGGATGGATAGGGTGCATCGAAGTGACAATGAAAATCATATGAAAAAGAGATTTGACATGTTTGTTATTACATTGAGAAATTTAAGTATTAACTTTACAAAGCTAATATACGTTCTCATGACCTCTCCAAATACATTTGAAGTTTTGCGTTGCATCTCTCAATTGAGCTGCTCTCTTGTCATCATTTATAGAGTTGCAGCTTATTCGTCATTTAGTCTCTCTCTCACATTCGTTCCAATTCGTTAGCTACTCATCAGAAGACTCTTACTGACTACCTCAATCTAGCATTGTTCTGATGGTTCGATTGATGAATCTAAAATTAACATTAGATTTGTCTCTCTCTAAAATCTCTTTCATCTAAATACTGTCTCCCTAACAAATAGAAGCACGGGGGTGGGGTGGGGTTTTGACTAATTGTGGAAAAGCCCATTAAATAATGCGTCAACTCAAGCAGATTACGAAAATTACGAAAGGGGAAATGAATGGCACCCACGAATGTCAAAAAATGTTATTTTTTCTACTTTTTTTCCATCACTTTTGTGTCTATTTAAATACATTTTTAATAATTCTTTACTTATTCATTTGATTACAAGAATAACAAGGAGACGAACATACAGATGCACAATAACTTTATAAAGTAGTTGAATCTAGTGAAGCGCACATTTGACGTCAACCTTCTATCTCACTCCCTCCCTCCCTCAATCTCTTTTCCACTTCTTCTTCTTTTTTTTTCTTCTTTTTCTCTCTCTCTCTCTCCATCTCTCTCATTACTTTATACTTCCTGCTGCATTCTCTCTCTCTCTCTTTTCCTCTTTTCCTCTCTCTCTATCTCTCTCTCTCTCTCTTGCTAGATACGTCTCAATACATTAAGCTATGATGACGTATCCTTACATAGTTTTCTGACTGAATAACGTTAAAAGTTTCGAATTTTCAACAATATTGAAATTGAAAGTCAGCAAAGCTTGTAAGAGATTCAAGCTTCAACTAACAGAGAGTGAGCATGAGCAAGATGAGACAGGCAAAATAAGAAGAAGATTCAAAGATAGAGAGAGAGATAGAGAAAGAATGAAAAAGGAAAATGACGATGGAAAGATAAAGAGTGAAATAAGTAGCATTGCCATCTGAAACAGAGGAAGATCGTTAAAGGTTCCATCTGTCAACGAACTTTCTAACGAGTTTATAACTAAAAATAGAAAATGGGTGTCGGTTCATTTTTTTTCTTTTTTTTCTTAACTATTCACATAATCACATCACAACAGCATTAACAATTAAAAATATTTAAATATATAATATCAAAGAGAAAGGGAGAGAGAGAGATAGAGAGAGAGAGAGATAGAAGAAGAAGAAGTAGTAGTAGTAGAAGAAGAAAGATCAAAAACTATTTTGGCGCGCAGAATGATTTCATTTTGATTGAAAACTCATAATATGCAGAAAAAGCTTCTTCTTCTTCTTCTTCGATGACTTTGTCTCACAAGTATGCAATCTAGCATGTGCCAGAATCTTGCAAATGTCACACTCAGTTAGTATAGTAATCATATAATTAACTTAACTATAATACGTTTTCGTTTTGCAAATGATGAGGGAGGATGTAGTTATAGTGTCATCATCAGTAGGTCACTTGATAGTTTTCATAGTCAACTGATGAACAACCGTTCTGCACGACACGAAAATCAAGTAATGACATCATGCGCATCTTGCGATACGTCATATGCTAATTTCACGTGATGCACGTGAATTATGGTAATTTGATCAAATTCATTGCATTTGCAATTCCAAACAGACAAAACGAGATTGTTTTTTTATGCCCAAACAAAACATTCAAATGTTTCCAAGAGTTTAGTCAGATTGACTCATGCACATGTGTGTGTGTGTGTCTGCGTGTGTGTGTGTATGTGAGTGCCACAACCACAAAAAATGGGAGGCGAGGGAGAGGAGAAGGATGAATGGAAGAGCTAAAGCCGGTAGTCGTATAAGCACGAAGAATATTCATGAATTATCAATTTAAAATTCTTTTTTATTATTTTGTAAAACACAAAGACAAGCAGGAAAGAAAATTCGTCACCATATATATCAACTTTCAAGGTGTCAACGTGAATGAAATTTTTTTTTTTTGGTCCTCTTCGTCGACGTCTTTTCTTCTTCAGCTCTTGCTTATGTTTGTTTAAGCTAAAAGCCTTGACTCACATGCATGTTACGAATACATTTAGTCAATTGTTTTATTTGTTTGTTTATTTTCATATGAATAGTCTTAGTGGGGGGTGAAAGAAAATTATTTTTTGACTTTGACTTCAAACGAATGAAATGATTGTCATACTGTACCAGTTGAGCTCTCAAGATGATTATTTATGAAATTCAGATGAAAATCAGCTGTCAACATGTCCATTTATGCGATTTGTGAACTTTAAAGCTTGAAATATTTAAAATTGAAATGAAAATTTTAAAAAAACGTAATATGGGTTTATTGGTCTCAGATACAAGCTATGTTAACTATGGAATAACACGCTACTACAGCCTAGAGGGTTTGTATTGGTTTAGTAGTATGGAAGACCTGAAGCATTAGTAATGATTTGAATCTGTCATGCTCTCTACTTACCATATTTCTGGTATTTGTTTAATGGCTTGTAGAAGTGAGCTCCATAGCCGTGGGGAGCGTAGAGGTGAGGAGCTCCATATGTTGCTGGTCCATATGGGTGAACGGCGTATGAGTTAGGAGCGTAGGAGCTAGGGAGGTAAGAGTTTGGAGCATATCCGTGTGGAGCATAGGAAGTTGAGAGATGTGGAGCATATCCGAGAAAGCCGTTATAACCATGTGAGAGATCAAAAGATCCATAGTACGAAGGGTAACCATGGCCTTCATGGTTATGAGGATGTCCTTAAAAAGGTAAAATGAGTAGGTTGCAGAGGAAGTAAGACGTTACCATATCCGTAGTTATGCTCATATCCGCTGTATGGCTTTGTTTCATAGCTGTTGTATTCCTTAGGATGAACTAATTCTTAAGGAAGTAAGAAGATAAGAATAGAAGTGAAAAATTGAAGAAAACGAACCAAATGCTTGAGCTGAAGCCAATAGGACTGGAAGAAGGACAAGGAACTTCATATCGAACGAATTGATGATGTGATGAGAATCAGAAGAAAGACGACGTCTTAAATAATCTTCCGATGACAATGTGAAACAGAAAAAGCTTGTCGGCTACCAGTTTTCAGCAATCATTATTCCAAAGACATTTTATAATATTTAATGTATTATACAAAGTATATTATTATAATATAGATAAGTGAAATGAAAAACGATAGATTGAAGTTTGAGGAACAAGGCAGATCCGAACAGCGAAACCAATCTGACAACAAGAAATATATATATCATATAGTTATGATAATTAACATACTTGTCATATGATATTGTATATTCTGATAGAGACAGTAGGCTTTCAGACTATGCTTCTTATCACATAATTTCACAATAACACCTCTTTCACACTTTTGTGTTTGAGTTATTGACCTATAATGGTATTCAGATGAATGTCCTCACATGTTATTCTCTTTCAATCCTAATTACCGGCAATTATCATTTTCGTTCTGTGAGCATGATTGATAGAATGTTTCCTGGAATCCTGATGCCTGTATACGGTCTTGACACAGGGTATAGTCGGTAACTTCAAAGAGAACATGAAATTGGAAACGGAAACTGATACCGTGAAAGCTTACACTGAGGCTTATGATAACAGTATAATTGTATTAATGATAATTGCCGAATATAGTAAAAGGTATCTTTGGTGGTGCGTGTAAACACACTCAACGTCTCAAACGTTGTACAATCCGATGGGACCTCATTTAGGCAGTTTTGTAAGAATTCATAATTTCTGTAAATGGTATTGAGATGTGTGTATCATGATTTGCTTCATAAACACATACGGACAGATAGATGATGGCTGAGCAAAGACTGATTGAAAGAATCCGCTATTCTGTGCGGGAAGGAATGTTCCATTGGAAAGTGAATATCCATAAAAGGATATGTAACTCGTATAACAGCCTTCTTCTGTCTATATTGAAGAATGTATTTATAGAGATAAACTACCTCCTCAGGCAATATGCCACTCACTTCCAATCCTTTCACCGGACAATCATGTTCACGGGTATTTGTTAAAGAGCTATTAATCTGATGATGTGATGAAGAAGCATTTATGCAAATGAAGCAGCTACCTATAAAGGTTATTCAGATGAATAGAATGATGTTGTATGCTATTTCCATTAGCTATATGTATTACCTGTAATGAAAAGAAAAAAACTATAAAATATCATTTTCTATGAAAAATGACTTTCAGTAGGGAGAGAATCAATCGTCAACACTCTCTTTCATCTACCAAATATCACATTCTCTCTTATCTTTATAACTATTTAAGGACTTTTTAATTAGTTTTTCAACCAATCATTAGAAAAGATGCTAATTTTTTATTTTTAGATCATCAGATGCTCAATCTGATGAAATACTACTGCAGTCAAGCACTCGACATCTGACTACTGTGTATGCACATTCATGCATGTGTGTAGACGTCGTCTTCCAGCCAATGACATCATTCTATAGGCATTCAGATGAAATCGTTTAAATCACGTTTACAATTGATGCACTCACATCTGAACTTTGAAGATCCTTCTTCAACAATTCATTCCTCACACACACTCTATGTCCTTATATGACTGTAGTGCATGTGATGATGCACGTGAATGTGCATTTGAGGCAAAAAGTACATTTCACGTGATGATATTCACGTAAGAAGAACTTTTGAACTATTGTTTTTGAATGAAAAGAAGATGTGACAAATAGCAAAATAAAGTACATAAGCTTAATTGAAAATAAGAGGAAAGGTTTCGACTTTCAAGAAAGATGAAGAAAAGGATACACAACAAGCTTCAACAAGAACATTCAAAGACAAGAGAGAATAGAAAGAGAACTTAAAAGAATGAAAAGCAAGATGCGTGGTTAAATGGAAGTGTTCAGCAAATAATCAAAGGTGCTACTGCTAGAAAGGTAATGACAACCAAACTTGATGATGCTTTTTCCAATTTTTATGGTCAATTCCAACGTCAACACTCACACACACCCTAATGATATAGGTAACAGCTCTATGAAGAGGAAGGAAAGGTTAGTGAGAGGGGAGGGTTACGATGCACCTGTTGTGAATCATGAGCAAAGCTATTCGGTGAAATCTCTTTATGTCATTCTCTATCTCTCTCTCTCTTTCGCTTTCTCTCTCTGTATGTCTGTCTGTTTTTTTTTCTATTCTGAAAATAAAATTTTTGAACGAAAAATTGTCTCTTAAATAACCTGCTGGATATCAAGTGTTGCCGAACTCAGGTCGTTTGGCTAACCGAATGAAGCCTATCTAAGTAAATAACATCGATTTGGCTTTCGTTCTTTCTCGCTGCTCCACTCATCTTTGCATACTGGTCAGTGGTGTTGTCTTGAACATACGATAAACGATTGATATTCTACATAATTGCAAGTAATTCATATTTGTTTTTCCATTTTCCCAACCTCATTCATGTGTTAGAAAAGTTTAATTGAATGTCGTTGATGAAGGCAATTCGTTCTCGAAGATTTATGAATCTTCATCATCATCGTCATCTTCTCATACCTCTTGCATCTTCTCTTAATTTTCCTTCTTTTTTTTTCTCTTCCGTAAATGACCGAAGAGGTGAAAGTGACGCTTCTGGCTTCAGATGTCGTCGTTGTCCCCATTTAACCTTGAATATTCCTTCTGACGACTATTGTCCTTGTCCTCCCTCTCATCCTCACCTTCTCTTTTTTTTTCGTTTTTCTCTTCTCCTCTTATACTCCGACCATCCTTCTTGGCTTCGCATCCTCATTCCTCTCTACCCTCTATACTTTACTTTGAAATTATCTGAGGTAGCTTCTCAACCAAAAAATTTTCTTTTTTTTTCTTCTTTTTTTTTCTCCTCAAAATTTCATTTTTCATCTTCGTCTTCGTATTCTCCTCCATCATCTATCATTTTACTGAATTTTCCTGGAATATAGCGAAGGATATTTGGAACTCTTTGTCTTTGACGAAATTCCTGTTTCATTTGTCAGTTCAAGACAACTCTTTGTTTGTTTTCTCATGTTTTTCTTGAAATTTATATTCAAAATCAATTACTCTGTTTCAATTGTTCATCATTCACATGAGTTCTTAATGAGTTTTGTCAATTATGATGTTTTGGCTGTCACCTTGATGATTATATCCTTTCAATAGGATATATCTCCCTCATCCACCCTCTCTTACTCTCTTTATCTATACTTACTTGTGCTCTTCTGTCCTTTCAATCTTTCTCTATCTCTCTCTCATCCACCTTTCAACTCTATCTATATACCTTAATATCTATCTCTGCTAAAGCAATATATTCCTTTTGTGTGAATAGCTGGCTAACCGAAGGGTCAGAAGAGGTTATTTGGTCCATGGCCGTCCTTTTCTATCTACCTTTATCTCCTCTCCTTCTATGTCTGTTCAAACTGTCTTGCGAAAAGACTAACGGGCCATAACGAAAGGTGACCGATTGAAAAAAGAGAAAACAAGAAATAGTAAAGGATATTAAGAGTAGTAGAGAGATAGAGAGAGGGGAATGAGGAGGACAAAGAGAAAAGGCATGAATTTCTACTATATTTTCGAGTCACAAACACGTACGTGAAAAGGACTGTCAGAATTAGAGATAGAGAGATAGAGAGTGAGGGAGTAAAGAAGATAGTTCTTGGAATTAGAAAATTAGAGAGAGAGAGAAAAAGAATGAGGTGAGGATCAGATAAAACAACTGAAGACAGAGGAAACAGAGTGAAAGAGAGCCTTTTATGGAATTCGTACAACTGTAGGTAATAACCTTTGGCTGTTGTTATTGATTGCCCCTCTTACAAGGTATTGTCGCTCATTCTCCAATTAATGTTATTCTGCTAAGCAATTTTTTTCCTCAAAAAGCCATGTTTTTGACAGTCCAAGAGAGGTCAATCAATAGAGCTGCTTGAGGTCAAAAGGTGCTGGTCTTCAGATTATTTGAGCACACCTTCAATTCGTTTGTTGACGCTTCTCTCTTTCTCTCTTCCAATCTCCTAAAATTCCTTATTTTTTTGTTTTCATTGTCATTAAATCATTTTCTCCTCCTCACACTACTCATCATATGATTTTCCTCTTAAGGAAATATGATTTGAATACAAGCGACAGATCGAGGTACGCCGATGCAAGAAGGGAGTCTCTGTGTCTGTGTGTGAGTGGTGTGTATGTGTGTATACGAATCGAAATGTTATAATTTCATATGATTAATGATCATTTTAATTGACAATAACTGACAATTCCAGAAGATATCGTTCTTTTTGCTTCTTAATTCTCTTTCTATCAGTATCTTCTTCTTCTTCTTCATCATCATCATCATCATCATCTTCATCATCCTCTTCTTCTCCATCATCTACGATTCTCAATATTATCGATGCTCTACTAGGCCAATCCTTTCCATTTCAATCATTTCTTCCTCTTTCAACATTCATTTTCATTTTGGCCATTCGCAGCTTAATCATTTCACCTTTCATTTCCTTTTTTTAATCGTTTAAATACCTCTGAATCAGATTGTAAATGTCTTTTCTCGCATCAAGCACCTGTACTTCTGTATTCGTCTTCTCCGAAATTAACATAAAGCAAAGAAGCATTATGATGAGGCATTCCATATATGAGAACCAGTTCACCACATATACACATGCACGTTATAGCTCTTTTCCTCTCTTGTCTTTTCATCTTGGAACTAATTTGAACTTTACTGTTGTCTTGACGCTTTCATCTGAACTTGTCCATCTATAGTCTTGTTCGGTCATTGTGTGTTGCCTTTTTAAACAGTTGGCCCTTCATTCTCTTTCTTTTTCATCAGTACGTCGTTCCTGAGAAGCAACTTGACCTCAATCTGTATTTTCTTACAAATTTTGTAAAATTTTAATTTTCCATCATTCCCTCCTCTTCCTTCAGACATACACATACATCAAGTTCTGCCGTAAGTAGTTTCCGTTTTGACAGTTAATCCTGTCGTTGTTGGCACCAACGCCTTCGTTGTCAGTCAGTCCGTCAACGACGTCATGTTTCCAGTTATTCATTTCCTCGTTTATGTCATCAGAATCTTCTTCTTTTGCCATGTTGTTTGATTACCTAATTGCCCCGATTTCTGATTCATCTTGTGTTGTTTCCTTGTCATCCTCAGCTATTTGTGTCTTTTACGCTTTTATTCTTTTTTTTGTGTGTTGTTGGTTGGCTTAAAGCGAATTGTCTCGTTTGCCTCTCTTCCTCTCTCCCTCTCCCTCTCACTCCATTCAGATCATTTCTCCATTCTACCTATTTGAAACAGATGATGAAAGAGAAACTTTGTATTAAGAATTCATTCTTGATATTGTTGAAAGAGGTTTACAAATTGAAAGGGTGAGCCAAAGCTTTCTAAGGCCATCGTTATAAGCCTCTAATACTCTCGATAAAACGACTGCTATTTGTCCTTGGACAGTAAAGAAGATTCATGATCTATGCAGCATGTCCCTTTCGTACCTTCCTTCTGAATTTGTTTCTCCGTTTGTCTAGTTAGGTAAGAATAATTCTCTCAGAAGCTTAATCTTTCTTTTTTCTTCTCTCGAATCTCCGCATTTTTTCTTCTCTATATTAGCATCATCACTCTTTCTTCAATGCTCTGTTAGCCTTTTGTCTTAACTGGACATGCTCTCCCTCGCCATACCAGAACTGTATAGAAATTTCGTTTTCTTTCTCCTCTCACTACTTAGGTTGGTCAATTTAATTTTTGAAGTTCTCACACTTTTTTCGTTTCTCTCTCCCTCACTCTCTCTCTCTCTCTTTCATGCCAATTCTCTCTGTACCTCTCTCTCGCATTCCTTATCTCTCTCAACGTTTTTTTCCACTATGCTATTTCTCAGCAACCCAATCGCATTGACCATTTTTTTTGGACGAAATTTTCATCAGCAACGTCATTTCCGACTAGTTTTCATATAGCACCTACAACTTGAGCTAAAAGCTTTTCTTTCGAATTTATATTTTCAACATTTCCCTTCTAATGTTCTTTGGATCATGGCTTGATTCTACCTCTTTGCGTTCTTTCATATGTTTATTATGATTGTTGTACCAATATCTTCCTTCACTCATCTGATTGTCATTTGAGATGTGGAGAGAGGAAATGATTGGGGGGTTCAGGTAAATCCGAGCTCTTTTTCTGTTTCTCTGTTATTCTCTCATATTTATATTATATGTCTATTGTTTCCATGTTTGGCTTTAATCCAAACAAGCCAGTGATGATGGCGATGATGATGTTGCTTGTTCGTCGGCTAGCCTTCAGGAGGTCGTACAACATGACAAAATGAATGAGACAGATATACATATACGGATAAAATCAAAGATAGATATATAGAGAGAGGGAGAGAATGAGAGAAAGAGAAGAAGAAAGAGGAATCAGGTAGACCTCAGCTGTACCGGCTTCATCATATATTCAGCTTCAGCCCAACAAACAGTCACAACGCATCAGCATCTCCAGCCATCTGACTCACAGATATTTTGGCACAATTCTGATGTTTATGATTGATTTTGGCCATTGTTTCCAAATCTTCTTTTTGTTAGCTTTCGTCTTGCTATTGTCTTTTCTTCACTAGAGCTGTTAGAGAATTTTAGGTGAAAAAAAAAGGAGAAGGAGAGCGATTGACATTCATTACCGGAATGTGAGAATTCGCGAGGAAATACAAGCTCTTTTCTTCGTTGTTCAGACTTCTGAATACATCAAGAGTTGTTTTCTCGTGACCCGTACAACACCAATTTTGTACCTCCAAACTCATTACGGTACACTTAGCTTAAAAGAGCGGATTAAGACAATTATCCCACTTTATAACCGAAATTGGGGTATATTTCAATGGGTTCAGCTTATAAGACAATATATGTCGTTCTCTCTCTCTCTCTCTCTCTTTGTATGCATGCGAGTCCCTCTATTCCAACCTCCCTCCCAACCTTTGTCAACGAAAAAAACGACTGATGTACTCATAACATCAACATGTTATAATATTACATTCTTTTATTAAGATGTTTTTAGCTCATTATCGTTTCTTTGTCTTTGTTCAAGCTTCACAGCTTTTGTCTTGCTTCCTTCCTCACTCACTCATACACCACTATGTTAATGATGAGAGGCGATTTGTGTCGCCTGTGTATATTTTAGCAATCTGAATGCTATGAGGAACAGCAGAAGAAAATGACGAAGAAGAAGCGCATCGTAACCAGTTCCTTCTCCTCCGACATTCACTTGTTACTCGTCCTGTCACCGCTGACGACCACATCGATAAGCCAACGGCGAAGACGAAGACGAAGACGTTAAGCTGGCTGTCGTCCCTCCGTATCGTTCATTGCGTTCTCATAACATTTCTTTTTTATCACGGTTCCGTTCTGCTTTTCATACTAATTTCTTCCGTTTCTGCCGTCTTTTTGTGCCTGACGAAGACTTCTTTTCATTTTGTCAGCCAGTCCCATCTACTACAGTCAGTCAAGATGACATCAATTTCCGGCTTATGAATGGTCTCATTCTTTCATCCTTAGCATGTATTTCTTACGTGTAATTGGCAGGATGAGCTTGTGTTTCTTCTATTTCTTTTTCATTTTCATAAACGTCACTCATGTTCTGCAATCAAAATCATTTTTCATCTGCCTCAACTTCACTCTCTCATTCTCCATGCTACTCTTCGTGAACCTATTATCCATTTAACGAATTGATTTCACGTAGATAACATAGAGGTCATACCCATATGGCTCTCTTCCTCTACTTCGTTTCAAATTTTTCTTTTTTCTCACCTTTGACACACGCATAGACATACACATAGTAGATATTAGCCATTTTTTTCTTCTTCGTTATTCTTATTATATCTTTTCGGAAGATATACAACACGGCTTCTATTGATGGCTTCTAAAATCTCTTGTAGAACTGGTTGTTAGCAAAAGCTTAAATGAGATGAAGCAGAGACAGTCAGTTTTACTATGAACTTTCTTTATTTCGAAAATTGGGAAGAAAATAGAAAATGGAAAAGCGCCAACCGTTCTATGCGTCAACATCAATAAGAAATGAAACATTCGTCCATCTCATTTACCTCACCGTCCACGTGTGCGTATATCCCACGCTACGCCACGCATATGCTAATTTCACGTCTATAATCGTTATATATTGACCATAGCGGTTGATCGTTTACAAACGGGGTTTATTTCGATTCGATACCCGAGATTGTCCATATCATTCATCATCTTTTCGCTCTTTTAACTGTTTTTGTTGTTGTTTTTATGGGTTTAATTTCGATTTATTCCATCATAACGTCCTTTTTCTTCAAAAATTTTCTTCAATTATGCTTCCATTGAATTGAATATAATCTTCAGTTAAGCTGGTTTCATCTCTTTAATGTCACAAATCTCAACGATGATTCTAACTGAGCGTTGTCCTCCTATCGTTCTTTCTTGCCCCCCCCCCCTCTCCACACTACCATCGTCTTCGCTCATCATGATGATGGCTATAGTTGGATTAATCGTTTCGTTTTATGATCAAAAGCTTTTTTTATTTTGCAAATCATCTAGCTTTCTCATGGGCTTCACATCTGTTTATCTCTCATATTTTATATTTTATAATCCATGTTTCATCCTGTTTCCCCTCCCCTCCCCCTTTGTATCATCTTATCAATCCTCTTAACTATATCATATCGTTAGCATACTTTCACTATGCTAACTTCACAAACCACAATCTATAGCTTAAGATCTATCACATCTCGGTTTCCTCACTCACTTTTTTAAATTTTAATTTTTTCCTTCGCGGCTTTGACAATGCCTTCAAACTGGATCTGATTCCGTTAACCAAGTTTCACGCCGTTTTCACAAAACTACTGTCAGTTCCTTACAGTCTTTGCGTTTATGATCAGCAGATTGTCCGGAAATTTCCGGTGAGAACTTCCTTATAATCGGTTCTTGTGCATTCAAAAGTCATATTGACACGTGACGACTACAAATGAACCAGAAGCTTTCGGACGTTTTCCTCCTCCTTCTGTTCGCCATCAGGTTCAGGCTTACTTCGTTCAGAAGGTCCATTCGTAACTCCTTCTTTGGAAGAGAGAAAAGACATAGAGAAAGAAGAAGGAAAGAGGTTTTTGACTGTCTGTCCTCCATCCGGCTACTGTCTCTCATCAGTTTCCTTCTCTGTATCTCTTCTGTAGTCAGTAGAACACTGGCTTTTCTTGTCGTCATCTGACCGGTCCTTCAGATTGTTTGCTGTCCGTCCGTTCCTCAACCGTCCGTCTAACGGACCGTCAGAAGATCGACATACCTGTCGTCTCTTCCTCATCATTCTCACATGTTTGAATGATCTATCATTTAGTGTATTCTGTCTAGCATCTCTTCTTCGACTGAGCTTTTCTGTTAATTCTGCTTACAGTCGTTACATAGCTTCAGGGCTCCAGTAGCTCAACTATCAAACCTCATTATTCCCAACAACATTTCTCGTTTGTCTCTTTTTCTTTCTTTTCTCTCATTCTCTCTCTCTTCGTATGTTCCTCTTTAACGAACCGTAATTGTCCCATTTCATTGCTTGCTGTCACTGATCCTTCGGTCCTCTAAGCTAGTTGCTCTCTTCATCTAAGCATAGAAGTCATCATCTCATCGATTTATTGATTCTCCAAATCATCCGATGCTTCAACCATACTGACGTCCATTTCATGTATTATTACACATCCACATATTGTTCTTCTTTTTTTTTGAAAGATGTCTTACAACCTTTCTTTTATCTTCGGTGTTCATCATGCTTCAGCAAGGCTTCACTAGTCTTTCAAGCATGAACGACTATAATCTCCACTAACAGTTACTTCTTCTCCTTCATTCTTTCTTCTCTACCCCCCCCCCCTCTTTTACTATAAATAGAAGAAACTGAAGTATTGTACAAATCAAGTGTTCACTCCTTTCTTCTTGTAAAGACTTCTGCCATCCAGTTTATAAATAGCTCGAATCCGCTCTCTGATTACCTTCATTATTCTACCAGAATGTCCTCACCTACATTTTATTCAAACTCATCAGTGTTGCTCGTTCACACACACACACACATACACTTACCAACCACAATTACTTTACTTTCTTATTTTCCAAACTTTTTTTTTGTCTTTTGTTTTTCACCCTTTCGTTTTCAGTTCAGTTATTCCAAACATAAACTATTTCTATGTGTGATTGACTTCATGCCACTGCTCTTCATCTCGTCCATCTCATGTTTTTCGCAGTTCCACCTCATCTTCTTTTTCATGTTAGCCTTTTTCCAACATCCCCCCCCCTTTTAGTCATTTTTTCTACTCTCTCTCATTCTCTCCCTATCTCTCTCTATCTATGTCTAAGCTTTAAGAGACTGTTGATTCTGATGTCGGAAAAGTTCTACTTGACGTCATGTTTTCCGATACTTCGCCTACGTAGCCGTCGGCGTCTACAGGAGAATCGAAGCCCCAGGATGTTGGGCTGAGATGTTTAGAAAAGCCTCGTTTGCATGCATTTTCTACTTTCTAATCTGTTTGTTTTTCCTTTCTGAATGATTCATGTTTGCTGTGCGCTTCTTTATCGTTTCCGATGTCGTCGTCTTCGACGGCGGCGACGGAACAGCCGTTGGCGTCTGTCATCCGAAGAAGAAGAAGACGAAGAAGAAGAAGAAGAGGACTATCGTTATCATCTTCTTCAAATATTCACTGAAATGGAAGTTATTTCACAAATATTTGCTTGTCGTCATTCCATCCAAATTCTTTTTATTTTTAAATTTTTCATTTCAAAATTTTCTTTTTTTTTTCATTTTTGCAAATAAGGTCATGGCATTCATTGTGTTTTCGTGTTTCTTTGTAATATTCGATTGTTATTGCCGACTAGCAAAGTATATTCAAAATATTTTGAACTTTTAAGATCTTTTAATCTTCTGGTAATGGTTACCACTTAAACAGCTTGAACAACTTGAAGAAGGTAACGATGGAACCTGACGACGATTCTATCAATATTCAAATTTTCGTTCCTGAACTTCAAGTTCGTGTAAGTTAATCCATACACATGATCTTCAATCTCATCATCATCACTTCAGAAATGTTTGACTGTAGGCCTTGGAGATTTTATATGGGACGTAAAACGAAAATTATTGGCCACACTTCCACAGGTTATCATGCCTTTACTTTTTTCTTTTTTTTCTTTCATTTTCACCTTTTTTGGTTGCCATTCCAAGTATTTGCATTGCTGAAATGGCTATTCATCAATGGAATTTATAACTCTGACACACACCTATTGCAGGCTCTTCCTCAAGCTTTCAACTATGGCTTGTTCTTACCGCCATGTGATGGACGTGCCGGCAAATTCTTACTAGAAGATCGATGTGTTAAGGATTATCCATTTCATGATTGTGTACCATATTTAGAGGTAATTCATTGTTATTGATTAATCTGTCATTAATATAACCAAATATGGACAGTCAATACTGTCAAATGAGATGTTTGTTCAACACAATGGACATTTCCCTCAAAAATTCTTTTTTTTTGTTTAATTTTCTTCAAAATAATTTGTTTCAGTTGAAATATAAGAAACGTGTTTATAAGATGTTGAACTTAGATGAGAAACAACTCAAGAATCTCCATACCAAGGTTAGATGACTTCGAAGCTCTTCATCTCATTCACTTCTCTTCCATTTCAGTCTAACTTGAAGAAGTTCATGGAATATGTTCAAACGAAAAATGCTGAAAAAGTTGAAAAGCTTTGTACACAAGGCTTAGATGCTAACTTTCATGATGCACAAGGTGAAACACCGTTGACATTGGCGGCTGGTGTATCACAGAATCGAGCTGTGCTTGTTGCTCTTGTAGGTGGCGGAGCTCATATTGACTTCCGGAATTCAGAAGGACAGGTTTGTACCTTATTATCAAGACCTGTATTTTCAATGCCCATCTATGTACATAACAATATAGAATAAAATTCTTCGAATATTACAAAAAAAATAATAAAAGAAGACTGTTTTCAGACAGCGATGCATAAAGCTGCTTTTCTATCATCGGCCGATAATGTGAAGACGTTACTCGAACTAGGAGCATCACCCAACTACCGTGATCCTATTGGTCTAACACCATTGTATTACAATATGTTAACAACGGATTCAAATGATACAGTAAGTCATTTATCATCTTATCTATATAAGCCATATATAATTAGCATATGTTACAGGTTGCTGAAATGCTCATGAGAGAAGCGGCTGACATCGGCGTGACGGATATGCATGGAAATCATGAGATCCATCAGGTAAGCAGCTTCTAGCCTCATCATCATCTCCATTATCCGCTTGTTCTCTTTTTTTTCTTTCGTTCCCCTCTCATCTTCAATCTCGTTTTTTCTTTCTAAAACATAAAATTCATTTTGATGATGATTTGCTAGTCTGCCAGTCAAATCATCACATTTTCTGTAAAAACATAGAACGAGGTTAAAATCCGGTCTTCTTAGTCGGTGGTCGCTTCCAACCTGACCACAACCTTTTCTTCATCCTCTCTTCGTTTCTTATTTTATCTACTCATACTCCTCTCATATTCCTCATTAAACCTATCAAAGAGTCTTCTCTCTCCCTCAAAGGTTATTTATTTGACTTTCTTGTCAAAAGTTGAGAAATCTTAAAAACATGGAGATCAGCAACTTGATGATCACCCCCCCCTCCTCCTCTCCTTCTACTCTACTCCCACCACCTACACTACGTCCTCACTCATCAGCCCTTCATCTACCTACTACTCTCATTTCATCAAAAAAGTAACCAAATGCCCAAATAAAGAAATATTCGAAATTATTTTTCGAAATATTGAAATTACAGAGATGTTTGTTATTCGTGGAGCTCTTAAATATTCTCATTTTTCTAAAATATTTTGATTTTCGCAATTGAACGAGGTGTACGGGCTGATTGAGAGAAAGAGAAATGTGAAGGGAGGTTAAAGCATTTTGAAAATAATGAATTTACGATGATAAGCTAAGTTCTTTATGTTTGACATGTGTTGAACAACAAACTTGGATTGCCAAGCTGAAGTGGCCCTTGCTCGCCTCAGGGCACTTTAGTGGTTAAAGGTGAAGGAGGGAACTGGAAGAGAAATTTATTAACAAAAACATATTGTTCGTTGAAGATAGGCTGCGAACTGTCTTAATCAAAGCAGACAGGAAGGATAAATTGACAAGCTTCTATGAATAATCGCCAAGAAGCTCTCTTTCATTCATTCCTTTGCTTTTCTCATTGAGCCACAGTGATAGATGCAGACAGACAGAGAGAGTGTTAGAGAGTAAGAGTAAGAAAGGTAGAGTATTTGTATATCATCAGTCCTATTGTAGAGCAGAAAGTTTGTAGTCAAACGTGATTGTAAGCTAGACTATACGATTATAATAAGATAAAGTTGGAGAATAAGCAAACTCATATGTGTATAAGATGGATTAAGTCTTTCTTCTTTTACCTTTATCTTCATCTCAATTTACCTGCTTCTCACACCTTTCTTATGACTCTGTACACATTCATTGAATTGGAACACATACACACAGAAAGAGAGAGAGAACTTAGGAAAACGAGTGAGAGGGTTGTATTGGACAACGCGTGCCGAACGAGCTTTGTCCAGTTTTCGTTCATTCTCCCCTTTTCCTTCTTTTTTTTTCCTCCTCTACCCATTTCTCTTTGATAGTTTTAATTATTTTAGAATTAAGGCCAAATCATAATTGGTTTTGTTTGAATGACCTGTTTGACCAATACTTGTTTATTTAATCATTTTATTGTTAAAACCTCAAATACCGTTTTCAGGCTTGCAAGAACGGTCTGATCAAACACGTTGAACATCTCCTCTATTACGGAGCTAATGTGGATGTTGAAAACGTCAACGGAAACACACCTTTACACGTTTGTGCAGTAAACAATAGGTGAATATGGGTTTTAAAATACGAATTAATTCGAAACTTACCTCACACAACCGTTTGACGCGTTTACGTAAATCGAAATGATCAGTTTACGTGGGAATTACGTGAGCAACAGTGACGTCGTTACGCGCGATCCCGTGAGTCAGACTGACCAGTTTACGTGGAAAACACGTGAGCAACGATCAAGCGGTTTTACGCGTTGAAAGTTTGAATTTGATGTGAAAATCGTAAAAATAAACTGATTTTCATTTTCAACTGTTAATCCATTTGTTTTAGACCTGAGTGCGCGCGTGTTTTGTTGTTCAGAGGAGGAAATCATCTGATCGCCAATAAACAAGGTCAAACAGCTCTACACGTGGCCCATATTGTGGGAAATTCGGCTGTTGCTGAAGTAATTGGAAATCATAACCCAACAGCCTCCGGTTAGTTTGTTGTTCTCATGTGATAGGGAGAAAAGGAACGGAAAAGATGCGCTTTCAAGCGAAAAAGACTTATCTTTTGATGCAAGCTTACTCTGACTCGCCTTTTTCGTTTGTCTTTGCCTCCAGTTTGTTATTTTGTGCGCGGCTGGATTAAGCTGAAAGTGGAAACACACTTTTTTCTTGTCTTATGTGGTTCTAATTGATGCTTCTTCATTTTAGTTCCGTATCGCGGCACTCCCCAATATTCCACTCGACGTAGACTGTCTTCTACCATCTCACGTCGTCGCTCCCTCAGCCAGTCTTCCCTCTGTAGCAGTCAGGACGTTTACCGAACGCCACAGGGGCCTCGTCGGACACCACTGGTGGTAAGTATATTATTAATAGAAAAGATGAAGCTATACGAGAAATGATGCGAAAAAAAGCTGGTATACACTAAGAGTGCACTTGAACATTGAAGCTAACCTTGCTAAGTCCTTGAAATCCCATCGATCCTCATTTTCAGATTCCTCCTTCTCCAACACCATCAAGAAGTAGTCGAACAACCGTGACGCCATCTGAATACGGCACCATGAGACGTTATGCTCCTGAAGTCTTAAAAGGAATGGCTCCAGGTCATGAGGCCAACACTCCGCGAATCCTTGTGATTCCTCGAGGACCAAAAGGATTCGGCTTCATACTTCGTGGAGCTAAAGGTGAGAGCATCAATATTTGTAACTCTTTATCATTATCATATCATTTAGATGTAAATACTGCCATGGAGTTTGAGCCTTCACTCATGACTCCCGCCCTTCAGTTTTTCGAAGGTGTGGATATGTCCGGGATGGCGATGAGAGCAGGCCTGCGGCCAGGAGACTATCTGCTTGAAATAGACGGTATCGATGTTCGATGTGCCAGTCATGAGCAAGTAGTTCATCTCATTCAACAAGCCGGAGACACTATAACTTTAAAAGTGAGGAATTTCTTCATTGAGATCTTATAACCTGCTTTGTAATAGGTAATCACGATAGACTCTGGAGGGTCGTCCATGAATGGCGATACAATTAGCCGTCGTCATCAATCAGGTAAATAGAGCTTCTTCTTCTCTTTTTTCTTTGTTCTCAACAAAAAGCTTCTATCTAACTGCAAAACTTGCTGGTGATGATATTCGCTAACAATTTGTTTTATTTTTGTTTTAATCTCATTTGTGTTATTGTGAACGAGGATTTCAGTTGGACGATCAGCAGCTCCTCCGCCGCCTCTCCGTCACCCTTCGACCAGTTTATCACTGCGTGGAAGTCAAAGTTTATATGGATTTCTAGGTAAATAACAAACAATTACATAAAGAGAAGCATGAAAACTTCCTCTTGTAATTTCAAAGTTGTTTTCTACTAACTTTTCATTTTAATTCAATTTCAATAACAAATCTGAACAGAGGAGAAGAATAAGTGCTTTCACTTTCGCTTTCTAATCAACAGTCTCCAATCAGAAAACGTTCATTGTTTTTATATTCTTTCTAATCATTTAATTTATCCCATCAATTCCATCTTAATTAGAAACAACTTTGATTGCAATCATCTAATTGCAGGTGATCAAGAAGATTATTACGCAGCTGGACAGATGAGAGGAACTTATGGTGAAGCGCGTTGTGCCTCAGTCAAACATCGATCAACCGTAGGGCGAAGGATATCCGCCGCCGAATTAGAAAGTTTGATGGTTCGACAAGCTGCCGGACAGCAATATCAGCCTTTACCTTATGACCAAGTATAGCATAATCATATTTCATTGTTTATCTGTTGTTTCTAGGAATCATTATGTTCGCAGGGACCGAAAAAATATAATTCTGTTTCGGATATGAAACGGAGGAAACAGCAGCGATGTGCTCCATCGCCTCAGTTGAGCGGACTACCCCGAACTAACTATGAATATCAGGTACAGCATATCTCTAGACACATGCTTATCCATGATTACAGGCTCCTCTCCAAGAAAATATTTATGGAAGCTCTTTGAAAACATATACATCTTCTCCTGATATAACGCATATGAACTCCTTTGATTCAATGGATGAAGATAGCCCAACCCCTCTGCCTACACATGATCTGCGAAGGTAACGCACATACCATATAGTTAACAAGATGATTTAACTATAAGTTTGCATATATCACATATTATTAATCCTTCAGAGGTAGCGTCGATGATTCTGAGTACTCTCGACCGTTCCGTCCAGCATCTCGCCCTAAAACACCCCCACCACCCCCTCCACTAGCTAATCATTCTTCTAATAGGTAGTGTGAAAGACTTTCTTACACATCTTCTACTTCTTTACTTTAGCACTTCTTATAGTATTACTAAATTCAATTATTTATTTCCAGAACTGCTGCTCCTCCACCTCCTCCTCCTCCACCACCTCAAAGTTTTCATCCAAATAACCGATTAGGACATTCAACATCGTCACCTGCCATACACCACTCGATGGCTCCTACAACTTCATCAGTCCCACCTCCACCTCCCCCTCCATCAGGCAAGACCGTTTCTGTAAAATTATCTTATTTAATTATTGTATTATAGGTGGAATGGGTGCACCCCCACCTCCCCCTCCTCCTCCTCCACCTGACCTTATGAAGACATCATCGAGTGCTCCTACGTTGCCTGCCTCTCCTATGAAGAATATTCTGGCATCTGCTCTCCAAAATCAAGCAACGCAACTAAGAAAAGTTACTAATACGGATAAAAAGCGAGAAAGAGGCGGACAACCAGACTTTCAAACGGATCTTCGAAATGCTTTAGCAAAACGAAGAAGTAAAGTTGCTCATGATGATGATGAAGATGATCGTCGAGATGATATGAATAAGTGAGTGTTATAGAATAATTCTTATCAAATTTGATTCTTACAGCAAGTTCGGTGGATTGTCTTTGAGAGAGTCAGTTCGTGAGAATGTACAGGCAAAAGATGTGAAACAGCATTCGCCTCCCGGAATAGCGCAGAAGAAAGATAGTGGGTATGTGACTAGTAAACAAGACTCAAGCATTGAGGACGTTCAAATCTTACAGATACACTTCTTCTCGAACATCGTTAGAGCCGTCTGAATGTGATGAGCGATCCTCAGATCATCATCATCACCCTCATTTCTCTTTAGATAACTCTCCTCCAGGTCATAAAGTCACATTGATATCTCAACACATAGAAGATGGTTATGGAAGAAAGAACATTGACAATGTAAGTTGATAACCTTCAAGTTTCCTTTTTCAAACATTGAGCCGCATGCACTTCTTGCATTTTCCCTTCTCAACACAAGTTTAACATGATTTTCCAGTATTTCAAACACCTTTTTTATTTCTCTTTTTACTTCTATTATTTTCACTTTTAATATGGTGCATGGTGATTCAGATGTCTGTCACTTCTTCTCTATCAACCCTCTCTGGTTGTTCGGCTGATTCTTCTTCCAACAATAAAACTTTCCGTCCAATCCTGCCACCAGTTGACTACGACGATCCAGATTCCGGAACTGGAGATTCAGATGGTGAATTCAGAAGTGAGCACGTAGTCTTCTCCTCTATAAATAGTATTCCAAAACGGTTGATGATGGGATTTCCCTAGGGTTCTATTTCTTTCCTTTACTTTGGTGGTTATGTGGTGTTTAGAGACACATTTGCACCTCTTTTCAATTTCTGAACTTCTAATCAGAAACCCGTTAGTTTACTTGTAGTGTTTTTGAGTTCTTTCGCATAAATGAAACAGAAACAATCGGACGAAATACCAACTGAACAGAGCTCTCCTTGTTATGGTCAACTGTATTTCAGATGCGGACCATTGTTCATTTGAGCGGAAGGACGTAATAAGCTGGAGTTGTGGTGAAGTATTAGCTTGGTTGGATGCCATTGGTTTATCTGAGTATAGGGATGCATTCCGATCCCGTCATATATCAGGATGTGCTTTATCCAAATTTGATCGAACGGCATTTACACAACTAGGTGTAACCCGTATAGCTCACCGTCAAAAAATGGAAACATCAATCCGAAATTACTTGAACAATAATAATAATTAATTATAAGAATCTTGTTTGTTTCACTGTTGATAGTTTTAGAAGATTTGGGTACTTCTCTAACTTTACTGTCCCTCTTAGTTGTTCCTATAGAGTCCCATTCCCTTGCGGCGATCATCCCCCATTTCCCTCCACTTGTCTCCTTCTTTCCTCTGAACCCACTGTGATGCCCGTGCCTAACTGTGCTCATCCGTAAATTTGTAATTAATTATAATAATTATTCTGAAAATGACTTACATTTTAAAAAAATTCGGTGAAATCAGCAGACATTCGCTTTACTCTAAGTCACCTGCTTTCTCTTCCTCTTTCCATATACATTTTCTCTCTCTCTCTCTCTCTCTCTCGCTCTGTGTGTCACTATGCTGTGTCTCTCATTGTATTTTTATACATTGATTAACCTTCTTTGATTTGTTTTCCTCTTTGATTCCCAAAAAATTTGTTTTCATTCAAAGTCTGGGTTCATTTTGTAGTTCTCTAATCTCTAGCCCCAGACGAGATATCACGTAGTGGTAAAAGACATACTACGCATATTCATTCAGATGTTTTATTATATTAAATAAAAATATAATTCATATATGTTTCTTTATTTTTATAACACGATGAATGGTATGAGACTTCACAGCCTTCTTCTTCTTCCCAAACACTATCAAAGGGAAGGTTGTTGTCGTTTCAGTCACTACAGGCGTTTGAAGTGTAGTCACAGTCTGTTACCCAGAAAACTGTACGAGATTAGTCTCTTGAAGATACCTGAAGCCTTGATGTTGTTTTCATATACTTATACGGCAACTTGAAGAAGCCATTGGATATGTTTGGATCTCTGAAATTGAAGAATAGGCTAAACAGGATGATGAGAGGCTTACTTGGGATAAATAACAACAATCTCAGGAACAAAAGTGTCAGAAGAATTTGCAGGTGCTACTCCATCCTGTAATTGGAGAGGTATGAATGAGGTAAACATGACCATGTAAGTCTCAATCAACAAACCTTATATGGAAGTAACAGATTAGCTGGATCATAAGCGCTAAGACTATAGACTGTTGAGTACATACATGACAAAACAAGGAAACAATACATTATGAATACAAAGATATCAACACAATAAAGCTTTAAATGCTGGAGTGAAAGATGAATAGGACGAAACTGGTAAGTTCCAGACAAGATTTTCTTTTTGTTTGTTTTTATTTCTTCAACTCTCTTCCACAGTCAACCATATGTGTGAACGAAGCGGTTTTTTGTAATTAACTGATATTTCTATTTGAGTCCACCACATACTTAGGTGTTGTAGTTCCGTGACAACTCGTCTCATCCAAATCCGTGTAGTTAGGACAACCATTCAAAGGTTTATCACAACTTACCTAACTTCAACGCACAGTTAGTTTATTGTTAAGTTGCGCGTCATAGTGCAACTCATACAAGTTCGGTCTCGGCAGAGTAATCATTTTCTATCTCTTCTATTTCTGTTTGAACGCAGTGTAGTTTGGATGTCAAAAAAAGTTGTCTGCGAATGTAATTACCCCAGAAAAGAAACATTCTAAACCCTGACGAAACGAGACCAAAATTCATAGAGAACAATGATCAAGATGTTTGCAACAGTCATCAGCAGAAGAGAGTGCCGGAACCTTTCTTTCTACATCGTTTGTTCAGAGCGATCAGATATGTTTTGTTAGTCGTCTCTTGTGTGTTGCACTTTCAAATTCGAATTCCTCAGTAGACACTGACGGTTTGGAATGTTTGTGGATGTATAAGATAGTTGTTGAGTTTTATTATGAAAGTTTGTCTAAGAAACAAACATAGTCAAGTTAGCAAGTGAAACATATACATCATAACATAAGGAAAAAAAAGAAAAATTAATAGAAAGATCTTTAAAGTGAATGCGTCAGTCACCGGTATTCACAATGCTGGGGACTATACGGAATATGCAAAGCTCTTTTAGTCTCTGTGACTCAGTTTCTATTTACAGTAAAGTTTTTGTTCAAAGGAGATAAGGGTTAATAGCATTAGAAGATCATTCAGTATTCAATCGAATTCATACCTATTGGGATTTTCAATCGCGTTTATCTTCTTTATGAATAAAACTGTTCTCCGCGTATCGGATTATGTCAGCTATGGGTGATTCCACGAAAATGTGAAAGAAGAAGGCTGCTATGAAGCTTATGATTACAAGTACTGGCAGTACTACTAGTAACTCTATAGCTCCTTCAGCTTCTTGTAAATAATTCAATTTGTTGAAAACGAAAACTATTGGCATATGAAGTAGGAAAACGTTGAAGCTGAGCTTTCCTAGCACGGTCCACCAGATACTGACAGGTTCACTAAAAGAAACATATTAATAGTCAAAATGTTTCATATGATTCTCACGTGTCTGGTCCGAATAATCTCGATGCTACCATTCCTATAATGGCCATAGCAAAAACCGTTCGGAATGTGGCCGTATATATCATATTGTACATGTTCGTATCAGCTTCAGGTTCCCAATATTCAGGCAAGATAGCATATATGGTGGTGATTGCCACAGTGAGAGATGTGTAAAACAGATTTCTGCTAGCTGTGGCTGTTAACTGTATTCTTTGTTCTGGATTAGCACGACGATTTCTCTTGTAGAATACAAGAAAGACACCAAAAGCAGCAGCTGTCAAGAATGGACCACATTTGGTATGTGGACGGCCATAAAGCTGGTAGATTCCACCATAAATTTGTTTCAATTCTAATTCTGTTTGATTTGGGAAGGAGATGAACTGAAAAAACGTTCTGATAACAAGGTATAGGCACAGGCAGAACGTACAGGGATATCAACGCCACTGTTGTTGCAGACTCCATAAAATGCACAATGAGCTGCACGAGCAATCATCGATAGAACTACAGTAGAACCAATTATTCCATAAAAGAATCTTATTGATTTGAAAGTGAGAGTGTAGAGCAATGGGACGATGAGGTAGAGCTGGAAGTCCAGTCCCAGATACCACAAATAACCCAAACATGTTGGAGCTTCTCTCAAATTAGCAAAGAAGAAGATATGACTGAGGTATCCTACATTAGGACATGTGGAAGTCATTGAGTCGGAGAATCTGCAGAATGCATTATTCAATGGAATTGAAACTGTAAACTCTAACCTAGGCATTAGATAAGACATCAAAGGCCCGCCGGCAAAGATTATGAAGACCACTACGCTTGGAGCTATACGTAAGTAGCGTTTCTTCTCGAATGACCAATAGTGGGGCCAGAACGGCTCACGCTCTTTTGAGAACCAGGAGACCGCAGACAGTATCCCGGAGAGAACGAGGAATATCTCAACGCCTAAGGCAGAGTTGCCTAAGAAAGGACCAAAAATGGGATGATCATGAACGTTTTTCTGAACATGTGAATGAACACATCATATGTACTGATAAGTGCAAACCTTGAAATCTTCTCCTGAAGGCAGACGAAGCAGAATATCCGTTCGTCCTTCGCTACCTAGATGGTTCATCATGACCCATACAATGGCGAACACACGGTACTTGTCCAAGAAAGCCAGATCGGAAGGACGGCAGTTGAAGAGCTGTCGGAAAGATTTTTGCACTTGCACTGGTCCAAGGCTAGGGTACAATGAGCTTCCGATACACTGAAGAAAAGAGTTACAGTTCATTAAAGTTTTTCAAGAACATATGCTTCTGACTACTGTTCGAATGTCATCATTCTCACGTAGTTCCGAAGTTATCGTTTGCTGTTCTCTCTGACGATACCGTAATCGTAATCTAAGATTATCGCGTCTACGGTAGTGTGCAGCGAAGTAGCGTAGGTTTTTTTCAAGGTTGTCTTCAAGTACTTACGTAAATTATCCATAGAATGATGACAGCTAATTGTGTTTGTGCTGGCAGAGGCATTCCATCGTTCTGCCCTACCATCATCAGAGTATCGTTTATCGAGAGAACTATTGGAAGCGCGAAAGAGCTTTGAGCATCGCAGGAGGCCATAACCGGCCTTACACTGAAACAAGAAAGATGTTCAACATACTAGAAATAGACAATAAGAAGAGAGAATCACAATTGTTTCCATCTCAAGAAAAAAATTTTTACATTAAGAAGCTAAGGAGAAGCTGGTCATCTGAGAAACAGTTTCTCAAACTTATCCATGACACGGTTGACAGGTGTGTTGATTACCGATAAGAAAGACAGAAAGCTGAGGAAAGGGAAAATAGTTAGAGCTTTAAGTTATCATCTGCTGGGAGGAGCTAAATATCCGAGATCACGCCCCTACGGGCCGTAACAAAGGAATCATCTCGTACTGTTTTATGACTTTCTGGTTCACAGAACGTTTTTTGAGTTTTTCAAATTGTAAAAAGGTTTTTAGATGTCTCGTTTTACAAGTAAAAAAGAGATGTTCGTTTATTGAGACAATAAAGAGAATCACCTACATAATCATTTGATGAGATGACGATGATTCTCTTGCTAAGTTTAAAAATTGAAGGAAGACAAGACAAATGACCAAAGGGAAACGACCAAAAAAGGAGACCAAGCCCATTCACCCACCAATTGACTGGTTTATCTATGATTACTACAACAATATAAAATAATAAGTATTATAATATAAAATATGGATGAAAGAAAAAAGAAATTTTGATAATGCAAAAAGTTCAGAAAAAATAAAAAAATTGTTGAGAAGAGAGAAGAGGATGGTCTAGAGCGAAGCCTAGCTTTGTATGAGAATTAAAGCAATATTTCGTTGAATCTCATAACTGTCTTAGTATATATATAGAGAGACAGAGTAGGCTCCTGCTATCTCCGAATCATAAAAGTCACGTACGCAACGTTAGGTTCTGCACGTAGCCCCAACAGTTCTCCTATTTTGTTATTTCTCACGTTCGTCTCTTTGACTTATTTGGATGAATTAATAGAATTTATCAGTTTTTGATGCTTTACATGCTTATTTGAAGATTTTCATTCAAAAAACGAATTATGAGATTCGAATGAACAGTCATACATTCCGAATGTCTGGTGCATCTTCTCTATAGGTCATGTGGGTTAACTGAAAGAGATGCATCTCTCTCTCTCTCTCTTTCTCTCTCTTCTTACAGTTACACCAACACATGGCGGTCTCATTATCAGAAGTAGACGCTTATTACAGTTATTTCCTATAATTTGTGAATCATTTTATGGATTCTTCTTTCTTACTTCATATTTCTACTTGTTTTTCGAATGAACCAGACAAAACACATGTTCATCTTCATCCAACGGCCATTTCTTGTTTGAAATTATTCAAAGAACACTCCTTATAGAAACAATAAGATTTTTCAGTTCATCTGTCGAAGTTTGCATCAAACACCGCTACAGCCAGTTCCATCAGAGCACGAGTGTTGTGATCAAAATAAATTCAAAATTATGTGCTCTCGGCTGGGTTGTTAAGAGATGCATAGATTAGCTTATCAGCAGATAACGTTTTCCCTTTCGTAGGAAAAAATTGAAAATTGAGCAATGAAACAAATCTTTGAGATCAGTTTCACATTCCTGAAATGAATTCATAGGTAAGAACTACTCTTAGCCCAGTTATCAGCTTCTCATCTCAAATGTAATTATTGGAAAGAAAATCTTCCTGCTTGTTACTAGTCAATTAGCCTTCAGCTCCAAAACTGAATAAACAATCGAAAGGAGGTATATGACGATTCCATATGAAAATATGTTCTTGATTATTAATCATATGTGAACTGTGTGTATCTCTATATCTCTTCATTGTCATTCTCTCTCACTTCCAGCCTGTCTCTCTTTCTTACACTTTCTCATGGAGTCAAAGGTCACCGTAGTCCTTAGAATTTTGAGCTAAAAGAGAAATTTGGAAAAAGAGAAGATGATAAGACGATCTTTGAATTAGTTTATTATCAATAAGATAAATAAGGTAATCATCGTTGTACATTGCAAGAGAAGAATGCAAAAACCAAATGCTAAGCTTCGTCATGGGAGTGACGGAGAGAGAAACACTAAGATGACTACTTGAACAACTTAGTTTTGCAGCTTAAACCAACACATACTTGATCATTACTGTTTTCTGTCTGTATTCAGGAATCTAGACCCAGACATACTTTTTATTTCTACTTTGCACTCACTCTTCAACTCACTACCTTTCTAACTGATTTTTATTTTCTAAGCTTATCTATCAGTTCATGCAGTGCAATTAATGGCTTCACAGAGTAACTCAATTTTTCTCGAGAGTAATCACTGCCCGTTGAAGAATGGGGCAAAAAAAAGTTTTTTTTCTAAGAAAAACGATTCGCTTCGTCATCTAGAAATCATCACAAATCAGTATTCGGAGACTGTGTAGATGATGTACGTGCGATTTCACAAAATCTTCGTGTGGAAGGGGGGGGGGAAGGGGTTGGGGTGTTGGTGGAAGAATCTGAATCAAGATTATCTTCAGAATTTCTTATTGTATTATGTGGTATGTCTGAGAACCGTATAATAAGAATTCACACAATCACGCCATTCACGACCAAGACAATGAAAAACTAATGAAAGATATGAGAAAATGACAAAAAAAAAGAATGATGATGACCAACCTAGCATCCCAAAAACAAACTCAAACTTCCTATCAAAACGAAATGGATTTTGTTTATTCTATCTCTTTGTTCTGATTTTAACATTCCACCACATCATATCTTACATCTGCTTCATTTACATAATCAACGTTTACGAGTAATATGCCGCCACGTGTAGTTCACGTGAAAGACAACTTAGACTCTGTCTGTCATTTTTACGTCATCAGCAGAGTCGATCGGTTGTTCTATGTACAAAAAAATTACGATTTTGAGATTTTATCAAAATAATTCTCAGAGTGTCGATTATAATGGAATGCTTTCTCAATGTTATCATTGAAATTTTTCATATTCCTTTGAAGGGGGATAAGAGTCGTAAGGCAGTGAATGCTATAGAGAAAGCATCCTATCAGTACAATTCTCATTGAAAATTCTCCAACTACCTATCATTTTACTTACCCATCTAATAATGAAAGAGAAGAAAAAGAAAAACAGTATGCAGAATGTAAAGCTAAGATAGATGAAGATGGAAATCCATTCTATACTTCCAAATGATTGTAACGGATTATTCTGATTGAATGAGAGAGAGAGAGAGAGAGTGAGAGAGTCAGCTCTCTGTTGATAAATGGTTAATGCATCTCAAACGTTACTCTCACAGCATATCACATCACCTAGAGAAGAATTTCATTTACAAACGTTTGATTATTGTTAAAGCCCTAATCAAAATTAAAAAAACATGATAATATGAAAAAGGAATGTGAAGAAAGAAAAAAAAAGGTAAAACTAGGAATGTTTATAGTGTTAATGCACAATATAGAATAGTTGATCGATAAGGGAAGAAGTTTAAAGTACGAAAATGCTCAAAGTAATCGGATTATGGATCAGTTTTTTTCCGAATATTATGATATCAAATGATTATATGAGGGCAAGTTGTCGAGGATGGAACAATCGGTTCACGTGAAAAGTAACGTGGATTTCTATTTGCGTTCAAACATTCATGATCGGTTGTATTTTTGATTGTTCAGATTAACTCTAAAGTAAACTTTCATATTCCAAAAACCTGAATCAAAGACGAGTCGAATGATAAAGAAACGATTGGTTCAGCTAAGATGAAATAATGAAATTCCTTTTTTTCCCAGAAATATGAGAAACAAATTGGAAGAAGGAGAAGAAAATGAATGTTCGTTGCCTTAGTTGGGACGGAATGTATGTCTTCATCACTGAAAATGAAGTATCGATCAGTTCACTTCTCGCAGCTGCTCTCGTCAGTTTAAAATTTTGAGCATTTAAGACAAAAAAATGTCTTTTCCTCCTTCACGTAGATTGAAAAACTCCTTATGCTCTTTGAGCGATCTTTGAGTTCTAAAATCGTACGTCAGCAATTAGAAGAGAAACAGCACCAACCAGTGGTCAGATGTGGCAAACTAAACACAAGATATGTCAAATGGATCCGGTTGAGTTCTGGACGGAAACAAGCTGTATGACAGACTGTCCAACAGATCCGGGCTATTTAAGTCAGAAAAATATGTGAAAAGTATCGCTGATTTCGATCAAAGCAATTCAACATGATTCGTTCTACTACTCTTGTCTGTGCCATTGGCTCTATCATCGTTCTGGCTCTGGTTCAAGCGTCGCCACTACCAGTCTCTCAAGATATTCCTACCGCTATTGACACTCTTGGAGAAACAAGGTTCTTTTTATGTTTCTTTAATCTTATTAATGTTTTCTCAACCTATCAACATTCTAATACGATTTCATTTCTTCCAGAGTGAAGAGACAGGGAGGAGGTGGCTGCGGGTGCTGCGGATGTGGATGCGGGTGCTGCGGATGCGGTGGAGGAGGAGGAGGAGGATGTGGATGCTGCTGCTGCCGTCCAAGGTTTCTAGCCAAACCATTTCCCAACTCATTCATCTACTTTCAAGATGTTGCTGCCGATGCTGCTGCACAAGATGTTGTACTTGCTGTAGAACTTGCTGCCGTACATGCTGTCGTCCATGCTGTGGTACTAAGAATACTAATCTGATTTTGCTAATCTATCTATTCAGGATGTGGATGTGGATGCGGCTGCGGAGGAGGAGGACGTAAGAGACGTTCTCTCCAAAACCTCCGTATCAAGCTTGCTGACAAGGTTGAGAAAGAAATGAACGATTTGTTAGGACTTGTTGCTTCTGATGCTGTCAACCAAACAGTCGAGGAGTCTTCCATCGAGGACAAACAAGAGAGCGAAGAAACGAAGAACTCCAACAGCTCCGAATAGATACCATGTACTTTATGGGTTTTATTTAATAATAATTAAATAAATATTTAAACTTTTATTGAATCAGACGACATACAGAGCAGTTGCTTTACAACATTCACATGCAATCAGATAAAAAAAAGTCGGAAACAATTCATCATTAACTTCTGAAGCCCAAGGTAAAAAGGAGCCAACGTTCATCGGCTATATACAACATATACATTCATTAACCTAACATTACGACTCTTAATCGACCATTTCTCTAAAAATAGAATCAAGCATAAACAAAAGCTCGTCGAGCCACTGAAAATAAGATATAAAAAGACATTTCAAACATATATCATCACAGATCTGCTAAAAGACCATTCGCCTGAGGCAGGTGTAGAAACATACAGTTTAACCGTATATAGTAAGAAATAAACTTTAGAAATCCATATATCTGTACAAATAAAAACAATGAATTATCTAGTAGAACCCGCTCACACAGAAAAACAACGGGCGGAAGTCAATAAAATTCTGGGATATGAGACACAGATTAGTATATGTATATGAAATTGCGTTATTGAACCCTTCTCTGCATTACGAGTGTGAGATAGTGAGTAAGATGAAAAAGAAGTGAGTATGTATGAGTTGAAACTATGTTCAATCATGACGCTATCTACAGGCTCTTAGTCTAAAGGAAGATCGGACGCGTCTCTCGATGTCTCATAACGAGCTCTACGAGCGCATTTTGGACATACATCCTGAGCACATTCCAAATGGAACACCGAAAAGCAATCGAAACACTGAAATCATTTGAACTAGAAGAGATCTCCAAATTCTCACTCACCCTATGAGTTGTATTGGTATTGAAAGGATAGATGACTTCCTTTGCGTTGCAAACTTCGCACACAAATCCTTTTTGTTTACATGTCATGCAAGCTAATATATGACCGATGGCGAACTTGAGAAGACTTGTAAGTTGACGTTCGAAGCTTCCGCTCTTCACGGCTTCCAAATCCTGAAGAAAAGATACCTACAGAATTACATGCTGTTCACGTACCGAGAACGAATATAAGTTGACATTCTCATAGATGTATTCCTTTCGATCTACTTTCTTTCTTAATTCCTCCGCTATGGCTGGTCGACAGGTGAAAAGATAACGTGAAGCTAGTGATAATCTATGTCTCATATCCTGAATAAACTGTGAGCCCAAATGATCGAGAGTTATCAAACCTTGACACTCTGGAGTGCAGGGCAATGGTCATACAAGCCATCGTTATGCTCACTGACTGTTATAATAGCATCGTCCTTAATCAAGCTTGACTTCAAAAGAAACTCTCAAAAGATTAACTTACATTATGATCGTTCAAGAAGTTACGTCCTTTCTGAGAGATGTCACGTTTAGACCAATCCCACGACTGAATGACACGAGCTGGAATAGCACTAACACCTCCAGGCGTGAAACAATCCAAACAATAGTAAAGACCATCCATCCCACAGCAACTAGAATAGCAAATAAGTCAGAAATAAGTCGTAATATGAACTCTCAATTCTTACCCATATTTGGAATAGCCGAACTGAGGACCTATCGATTTGCAACACATCGGGCAACGAAAATCTTGAGCAGGAAGTCCTTTTTCAAACGGTATAACTGTCATTTGTTTCAAAATTGATTCCTCCTCGTCCCTCTTAATGTCTTCGGCATTCTCAACAACAGGCTTAACCTCTTCCACGATACTCTTTTCTTCAACTGTGGGAGACTGTAAGTATAAACGTAAAAAACCGTAGAACTCAAAACGCTAACGTCCTGCTCTAACGCTGAACGTAGAGCCTGTCCGAAGCTGACCACACCAATACTACAGTCTGTGCTCGACGAAGATGATAAACAATTGGCTTCGGTTTCAACACTCTGCAAAACTTATGTTAGGGAGCATGCTTGAATAGAATCGAACTTTAGCTACAGTCCAGCCTCTACCCATAAGAGTGTTGCTGGTAGCTGATTCATCGTGTGAGTTGAAGGGGTTGGTGTTAGCAATTTCTTCGAGCAGGGAAGTACCCAAGCCGGTAGACTTAAGATTTGAACATAAAAAACATGCATATCTATAACATTACGCACCTCATCACAATCAATTTGAGCTGGAGATCCGTCATTCCTTTCTTCATGGCCAAATGAAGGATTTTCATCTTTTGGTGAGAACTGAGCTTCTTCATCAGGACTGAAGAAAGGTTCTTGCTTGTTGTTGTCTTCCTCAGCGTTTTTTTCAGCAGATTCTTCGTCATTGAGTGTTTCTCCTTCTTCACTACTTTCCTTCTCTTTCTCTTTCTCAATATCATGCAGAATATTATTGATAGGGCTAAGAGAAGCTTCTTCATAATATGATTTTGGAAGAGGCAAAGAACGAGCTTCCGAATCAACTTCAAAATATGCTTCGTACGCACTTTTATTAGGAACCCTATGCGCATGTTCATCTTCGATCTCTATCGGTGCTGAAATCAATCGAACTGACTAGGCAACTTGATAATTTAATACCTGTAGGAGGATTTTTTTTCTTTGATTTCTCAGCTCTTTTCTCATGCGTAGCAGCCAAGAGATTGTCCACTAGAACTTCCTGAGGTAGATTTGGCAATCTTAGGTCAAACTTGTCTCTGCCACCTAAGTCTAACTTTGAGTTCAACTCGCTATCAGATGGGGAACTGTTTCGGCTTTCACTCTATAATTAAGGTTGAGAGAATCGTAACAAAAGCTATACATACGAATTCCTTAACATACTGCGACAGTCTGGGATTAGAAGAACTACTTCCTATAGAATGTTTACGCGGACAAGCGGTTCTTCGATGAACAAGTAGAGGCTTTAGAAAACATCAATTACACAAAACTTGTACAAAACATACTTGATGGCTCGTATCAGGCGATCCGTTAGTGAAAGAGCATTCCGATCGAGGAGTTGATGAAATGATGGCGTCATCGTTCCTGTCGAGCAGTGAAGGATGAGAGTACGTTGAAGAAACATCATCATCAGACACCTTTCGAGGCATGCGATTAGGTGAAACGTTCCCGGATATAATATCGAGAGCATTTGTACCGACTTCTTCAGACTCTTTCGACAGTTTTCGAACGAGCCTTGTAGAGCCTGATGAGAATGTACAATGTGGTAAGATAAAACCAAAGCTCACTCTTCAATGGCTTTCCCGAAACAAGCCCCGCTAGTATTAAAGGAGAGGGAGTCCATGAATTTAATAAAGAGCTGTTAGTAGCTGCATTCAGAGACAAGAGAGATAGACCCTGTAAACAATGATAGATAAACAACTGAAGCTAGGGAGAGGAAAAACCTTCAGTACACCTTTCAAACGTTCAATACGTTCACTGTCTTTCAAGAATGCATAATCATTATAAAATTGGCTGAAAAGGAATGAGAAGATGAGTTGGGTAAGAGATTGATAGCTTGCCTTAAAGCCTTCGTTTCGTTTAATAATAAATCTACATAATGTTCTAATGATTTTTCGTTTAAAACTATGCGAATCCAAGCCTGCAAACAAGCATGTCAACTTCAAAACATTTTTTTGTACTTACCCGGCTTTTACCTATCTCTGTTTTGATTTGATTAAGATTTCTTATTTGATTAGTGATACCACGATGAGAGAATTTAGAAACAAACGGCCAAAAATTCTTCAGAATATCAAGAATTACACAAACGAACATGAAAACATACGGGTTCCGGATACTTAGCATATCGCGAGCCTTTTAAAAAGAACGGATCCCTGAGTCCATGTATGAAAACGGCTTCAATAACATTACATATAGTTAGAGTGATTTCACTGCAACATTCAGTTGATCAAGACATGAAGCCTTCGCACACAGTGCTAACCTTGAAACATACTCCTTAGAGGAAATAGGATTAGATATAGCAGCTTTTAATACAGATTCTAGTTCATTAGTTAGTTCCATTTTCGTTTTCTCATGGTTTGACCGTTCAGCACTCATCTTCTACAAATAGTGTAATCTATAACCATCTTTTGAACAGCAAAAACGACTAAAATGATACGACATAATAAGCGAATAGTGGCAATTGTGGCGCTATTCTGTTATACTGCCCCCCTTTAGGCTCCGCCCATTAAACTGTGCGCACCTGGGTTACTTTGCGTAGAGCTTTGGTATCGAGGATGATTCATTTCCAAGACATTACGAGTCATGAAATTAAAGTGTTGTGCGCTTCCACGAGACTCCTCTCTCATTGAATGACAGTGCATTGACATGAAGTAGGGTTCCAATGTGATGTCTCTCTTAATTAAGAACCTTTTTTAATTACGGTAATTAGTTTCTTTGCAAAACGCCCACAGTTTAGTGGTCGGTGCCTAAAGAGGGGCAGTATAATAAAACAGCACCGCGATTGTCTATCTTGCAACACATTATCTCCTGTTGCCGTGTCTTTTGCACGTGATATCACCACTATTCTTTCAAAAGATAGAAATAGATTGATGATAAAGATTCCAAATTTGAAACAATACTACTGGACTAAAGAGAGGACTGAAACAACACAGAGTTACATGCTCATCAAGCTGTAATGATGATAAAGATTGGAAATCGATTTTAAACGCACGTTCAATTGCTTTTGTGGTCAATGATTACAAAAATAATATAATAAATTACATGCATCGTCAACCGGTATGATTAAGCATACAAGAAACCTCAACTTGTCTAATAATTCAAGTGCAAGACGCTCTCAATGCAGGCAACTAAATGAAGAGACGCAGCAAATGATGTTTGCACCACATAGGCCCCTTATTCATTTACCATCTAAAAGCTAAGCGAGCGTGTACTGTGACTATTTCATAACAAACTGTATTTTATAACTTCCTGCTGAATGTTAGAGCACACTCTAATATTGTTTATTTGTGACTTGTGTTGCTATTTGAATGTTCAAAAAACAGTATTTTAGGAAAAAATTAGGACCAAGATGTTTTTTTAAGATCTGATCACGAGGACAACTTCCAGAGAGACAGAGATAGAGAGAGGAGTACAGCTCACCGGCTCACCAACTGACGAGATTGAGTAGTTCTACAGCTTATAGACCCCCGCGGAAACGCCCCTCGTAAAAATAATTTTTACGTGAAAAAAAAAATGACCCGGTCGTTCTCATCTGGGAAAACGATGAAAAAAGGCCGAAAGTTGATGAAATCGGTTGGTTTTTGAGTTGTTTCAGATCAGTATTTCATTTCAAACTTGAATATGGTGTCTATTGGTTGGTTTGAGAGGAAATTTCAGCTTTCTCGACATGAGTATTTAGAGTTGGTTCTCGCAAATCCGAGGCTGTATACTGAGAGTTGCTCCATTGCGAATTGCTCTGACCGTAATTCGCAACTATTACGAAATGTTTCATTCACTTTCACTTTCTTGTATTCTTTTCGTTTGAGTTTTTTCTGTTTCAGAAGATTCTTCTGATTGATATGTTTTTTCTTGAAGAAGGCGCGTTCGGACGCGTTGCTTTAAGCTGACTGTTATGCTATGACTCGCTTTGGTTGTTTCAGCTTTCTTGAAGCCAATGTTGTGTTGCATATTATCCATTCAAGTTACTTGCGAAACTCACCCTACTGTTATCAAGTAGGTCATCAGATTTTGAAGAGAAAATAAGTCAAGTGAACAGCTTTCCAACTTTACGAGTCGTTGAGAGCCCTCAATCAGCAGTACGTATCCGGAAAGTGCGAAATCCCGGTTGATTGTCATCCTGACGCTAGTATTGTTTTCAGTATTCTCTTCTGCGCTCTCGGCTCATTGCTCTTCTTGTATCAGTGATATGTTGTCGTATCGATCTTCCTAATAAGAACCTAATCCGAAATCTGCTTGGATAGTAGCAGTTACATAAGCAGCATATTTAACAGACGCTTGTCATTCAAGACCTGATTCTAAATTTGTAGGTTCTTCAGAAGTTTTATTGACCGTACACATGGGGAAATGAGTGACAGCCTCTCGATAGTCTGCTGAACGGTACGGTATGTGTTTAATAAACTTAGCAACTTGAGAAGTTTTCTTCTCCAACTTGATGTTGTTGGTGAGGTGCCAACGTAAGAGCTGATTGTTAAGTTGGAGGACAGTTAAGCATGTCTCTTTATACTCAGAAATTGATGAAAACAATTTATATAGGATGTAAGAAGGTAAGGAAGTTTAAGAAACACTTCAACTTATACTACGAGCATCCTCTCGTTTTTTTTTGTTCCTGGGTGACAGATATTCACAAGGTTGTACATATTGAAGTTTTCAGGTTAAAGTACGTTGATACCAGAATATTAAAAATAATTTGTTCGTTATTAATTATGTAAAATTAAGTAAAATTTCTGTTTTTTTGAGTCTTTTATTTCTGATGCGTTTCACGTTCGGACTCGTACTATGTACGGTGCGCATTGGAGCTCGGCAGTG